GACTGGCTGAGTTAGCTGCCCTCCAAGTCGAAAGCTTGGGCCCATGAAGGGGCGGTACTCTGCATCTCTAGGGTCCATTCGGCTGGACAGCGAGGGAAGCGCAACGCCAGCTCGGGTGAAAACGGCTACAGTTCAGATTTGGATCAGGATGCATACTCAACAAGTGATTGACAGCCCTCCCAGCAAACTGAAAGATAGTCCTCCAGGACAGCTCCGCATGGACCAGAACCAGGAAACCAGCCCTGCAGGGGCCAGAAGAGGGGGGAGTAACATCGGATTAGCAGGCCACGCTGTGGCCGAGTAAACTTGTGCCGAGACAGGGCCCTCGAGGGCCTCGCTGCTCCACGGGGCGCCAGGGGTGATGTTTGAAAACATGGACCTGAGGAGGAGGAGGAGGAGGAGGAGGAGGAGGAGGAGGAAGGAGGAGCGATCAGGAGCGATCAGATGAAAGGACAGCGTACGTCCACCAACGGCGCCATGGACCGCATGAGGGTTAAAACTGAGGCCCCAGATTGGCCTCAGTTTTAACCCTCGGAAGCAGGAGGAGGGGGAGAAGCAGGGGGAGGAGGAGGAGGAGGAGGAGGAGGAGGAGGAGGAGGAGGAGGAGGATGGGGGAGGAAATGGTTTCGTCGCGCTATAGTTTCAACTTTGCGCTGTTGTTTTATCTCGGCACGTGCAATGCAACTCAACGCAACTAAGGCCACACAGGTCCTGATGTAGATACAGCTCCATGCAACATTACATGTTGTACAGTAAAGTTGTGTTAGGCTGTGTTTGATATTGTTTGTTTTCTGTTAACTGTTTTTCTTTCTCGGCTGATGAGTGCGTCCTAGAATCGAAAGCTGGCTGGAGCAGACTGGCCAAATGCCAGTCAAGACAGTCGCTGGATCGAGACGCCCTCCAGTCTCTCACGCGAACTGCGCCCTCATGGCGCACGTCACTCTCACGGCTGCTTCGGACGCGAGGCGCTTCGCCTCTTGAAGAGGTACGGTGTGTGAAAATGTGTCCTTTTGGCTGCGGTAGATCTTGGAGTGCGCTCGCTTGAGGAGCACGGAGAAGTCTACGTCGGGATTGTTCTTGGGACTGCACTTATCTACCACCGATTGCCACTCCACGGGCAAGTCTGCAACATGTACTTTCTCATGCTCGCGCTTGCCCGTCCCCTTGCCCTTGCCCTTGGCCTTCTTGACCTTGACCTTCGCCTTTCCCTTGCCCTTCTTCGGAGTACGCAGGGCTTTATCCTTCGCCTTAGCCTTAGTGCGGGCCCGAACCTCATCTGGAGTCGGAGCCCTCGTTTTCTCAGCGAGCTGAAGAAGATCTGCAATATCGGCCGAGGGTGGCTTCGGCCCGACAGTAGTTTTTGTCCGCAGTCGGTGATGCACTGGTCGAGCAGCGAAATCCTTCAAACTCGTTGCGCCCTGCTCCTTCTTGGCGGTCGCTGCGCCCTTGAACAGGCCCTTCTCCAAGTCCGCCAGGTTGGCGTCGAACGTCGAGCAACCACTTGTGGTCGCAGTGTCACCTGTGAGATCTACGACTGATATCTCGGGCTCGGGAACGGGGCAAAATCTGACAGATGAAGAGTCGCTCTCCTCGTCGTCGTCGTCGGACTTCTCTGCGCCCTGCTTCGGGGCATCAGCGTGAACGTTCGCAAGAATTGAACTGAAAGTTTCATATCCCAGAGGCGGTTTCTTCGAGAGCTCCTTGAACTGAAGCCTGCGGAAGTCCCGCAGGTGGGCCATCATGCACCTAAGCCTGTACACCGATCGCTCGATGTCAATCCCACTCCACGTTTTTTTTTGTCTTTCGCCCACGTCGTGAGCTGCAAGAGGAACGGCTTGTGAGTCAATGGGTAGCCGCCAGACATCCTGAAGACATCATTCAACACTTGACGATACTTGCGAAGCTCGGTCCAACGAATGCTTTTTTTCCAACCATTGACATCGCCTCTCGAATATTTCCAAACATCGTTAATATCTGTAGTCGCATCGATGTAATCATCGAAAATGCACCGTGCATCCTCATCGGTAAGTTTGACACTGGGAGTTTTCGGCATGAGAATAAACACTCCTGAGTCTCCAGCCAAAATGGGCTACGCGGACCAACGCCAGGAGTAGGAGCAGTAGGGATGACGGGGAGAAATGCATACACGGACGGCATGACCAACTCAGCCTTGGAGGAGGAGGCGGGAAGGAGGAGGAGGAGGATGATGATGAGGAGGAGGAGGGAGGAGGGAGGAGGAGGAGGAGGAGGAGGGAGGAGGGAGGAGAAGGAGGGAGGAGGAGGAGGAGGAGGAGGAGGAAGAGGATCAACGAAAGGACGATGGAGTGGCTACACACAGAAATTCCCAAATCTGCATGACAGTGAGCGTACGACGGAGTGGCTGCACACACAAATGCCCAATTCCGTTTGGCAGTGTCGGGGAGAGACAGAAGTTCTTTTTCTCTTTCTCTGTCTCTCTCTCTCTCTCTGTCTCTCGCTTTCCCACGCGACCAAAGAGGAGAAGTATGAGCCCCCTCTCACTCGGGGCCGTTTGGGGTTCAAGGGTGTCGGCGCGTCTTCGGGCACGTGTTGGGCCCGTCTTCGGGCCCTCCTTCGGGCCCGTTTTGGGCCGCGCGGGCTTGTGCTGTTTCCGTCCGTTTGATGTGTCCAATTCAATCATCCTCCTCGTCGTTGTCTTCCTCCTCCTCCATTCCCCTCCCCCTCTTTGTCCTCTGCGTTGTTGCCCTCTCTGCCCAATGGGGCGGAACGGAAACGTGACAAACGCGCTTGGGGCGGACCGAAAAGTGACACAGGCTTGGGGCGGACCGAATAGTGACACAGGCGCTTGCGGTTCCTCCTTCTCCCCCTCCTTCTCCTCCTCCTCCCTGGCCGCGGCGGTCCGAACGGGCGACGCGCGCGTCCCCCCTTCTCCTTCCTCACATCCTCTTCCTCCTCCTCCTCCTCCTTCTCCTCCTCCTCTTTCTCCGCAGCATTTGTTGTTGGTGCCTTCGCCATTCCAGAATTATGGTGTTGAAGATCTCTATAATATAGAGCAGCAGCTATAATATAGTTGTGCCCATATTTATAGCGGTGCGATCTCCTCTGGGTAGGCTGGGCTGCGGTGTTGACGATGAAGGCCAGGGCACCCAACACGAACGTGAAGATGCCTAGGGCAAAGCATAGGACCGCGGTCTCCCACCAGTACCCAAGCATCTTAACGCCCAGGCGGTCGACGGCGGATCCAATCCATCCGCCACTCGTGCGGATCGTGCCCGGGTGGTCGGGGGAGCTTACCCACGCTCCGTAGCCCACGAACTCGAAGACCCAGGCTGCGAAGCCCCAACCGGGGCCCGGCCCCGCCTCCGGGGGCGGGGTAGGTGGCGGCGGCGGCGGTGGGGGCACGTTCCGGCCAGCCCACCAATGGGGCAGGTGCGGGACCCAACCACTCCACCCCCAATACCCGTCCAGCCCACGCGGCAGGTCAGGCTCACCATCGCCCGTCCGGTTTCCCGGGGCGGACGGCTGCCCAGGCGCGCCCGTGGGCTCGTTGTTACCTCCGTACGCCGGCGTAGCTGGGCTGCCCGTGGGCTCGCCCTCGCCTACGCGCCCGATGCCCGCGATCGTGGTCGTTGTAGTCGACCCTGACCGCGGCGGCGGTGGGACGCCCGGCGTCCCCGGGGGCTTGGCCTGCGGCCCTCGCCCCTTTCCCCCTGCAGGCGCGGGCTTGGCGGGCGGTCCTCGCCCCTTGCCTCGCCCCCCACCGCCTGCCGGCGGCGCTGTCGGCCCGGGCAGGGCTGGCGGCGTCGGCGCTGGGACCTCATGTCCCCCGCGCCCGAACGGCAGCCAGCCAAGTGCCCCTTGGACCGTGAGAGCGCCGCCCGTAACCAAGATCATCAGGTGCGCCCCCAGGAAGCCCACAGCCATGGCACCACAGGCGCGCTACCTAGTCCGCGGACTAGCACGGCTGTGGTTATGGCCGCCCCGCGGCCCCCTGGAACACCCGCGCGTCGGCCAGAGCCGAACGCTACGGACCCAAAAAGGCTACCTGAGCCCACACCCCCTCCCACTTAACCTGCAGTCTACAACCAATCAGACTATACAATTTGTGCCGCGAGTTGCGATTCAGCTTGCGCCATGGCTTGCGCCAGCCATTCCAACACAGGTTAACAAAGGCTTCGCCATGGGTCGCGCCATAAACAGCGCCATGTAACACTTCTGGTTCTGCTCGCCGAGGTGTTGGAAGCGAATGTGGTGCCCGACTTCAAAATAAAATGCGAAAGAACTCGCAGGCGACAACGCAATTCCTGAAAAGGGGATGCCTGGCGGGAGCGGGGGGTTAGAATAAAGCGTAAGGAAATCTTAAGCGGGAGCGCCGTTCTTGAGTAAATTGTTAGGAAGACTCAACCTGGAGGGGGGCTCCTGACTAAATTGCGAGGGAGTCACAGGCGGGAGCGCCGATCCTGCGTAAATTGGAGGAAGTCTCAGGCGGGAGCGGGGGTCCTGAGTAAAGTTGGAGGAAGTCTCAATCGGGAGCCTTTGTTGTTGTAGCCCAGGCGAGCAACAACGCAGTTTGACCCGGACTAAATTGTGAGGAAATCTCAAGCGGAAGCGTCGTTCCTGAGTAAATTAAGAGGAAGTCCCAGACGGGAGGGGGGTCCTGAGTAAATTTGGAGGAAATCTCAGGCGGGAGCCGTTGTTGTAGTCTGGGGGGCCAGGGGCACAGTTTAAGCACCAAGACTATCTTTCCCTGTCAAAAAACAGGGTGCGAGCGTCGAGGGCACACTTTGACTGAGAACAAGCACCGATGAGGGGGCATCAGCAATAATTATTCTTCAGCAGTGAGAACTCAACAGCAACAGCAAAAACACCACGCAAACGAGAACCCCACAGCGACAAACAAAAACTGACCCCCGGCAGGGAAGAGCCCGTCGATCCTGAATACACGCGGACAAAAAACGCCCCCAGCGTGCTCCGCATCATCTTCAGCCTTGTGCATGGGGGGGCGGGGGAGCCCTGCTCGCCTGCACGCCGCTCTTGGCGGCCACTGCATCTCCCTCCTCGATGATGTAGAACTTCTGGCCTCGGCTGGTCCCGGAGTAGGCAGGGAGGGAGCAGGAGGGAGGGAGGGAGGAAGAACAGGGAGAACGCGGAGGCTGAAGGACAAGGGGGAGAAGGTAAGGAGAAAGAAGAGGGGGGGGGGCCCGCGCGCTCGCGCTCTCCCGCGCGCCCGCCGGCAAGATTGCGGCGACGGGGGGAGGGGGGAGCCCCCTGCTCTGGAACTCCTTGCAGTTTCCTGCACCGCTCCGTGCAGCGCGGGAAACCTTCAGGCGGCGTGCCTTTGTTCTCGCGTGCGCACCCGAGACGCCTCCCTGGAGGAATCCAATCTTCCCGCCCCGGGCCAGGGTGGTGGGAGGGGGGGAGGGACGTGCCAAAATCAGTCAGCATCGAACCCGCAAATCGGACCGAACCGGAATGTGAATCGAACCGGGCTGCATCGGCACGGAGGCGAAATCGAGACGGATCCGCTGCGCCAGGAGGCACGACGGCGCCATGCAGGCATCTGGGCCGCATCGGATCGCTGGAAAAATCGAAATAGGCTCGGATCGAGGGAAGGGGCCAAGGGACACACGAAAAAATACACATCAATAAAACGATTCCCCATATTTTCCGATATGTTTGGGGTTTTCGTCTTCCCCCCCCTCTCTATATTTTCCCATATTTTCTGGGAGTCGACGATTAATTGTGTCTGTGTGTTTCTTCCCTCCCGAGAACGGCAAACGTCGACATCGGATCGGATCCATCGGATCGAGTCGCTCGGGCGGCCATTCCCCGTGCCTTTCTCGGTCTCGTGCGCGCCCTGTTCCCGGAGTCGGATCTGACGAGCTCCTCGATGGCCCCCGCCAAACACACATGCTCACGTCCGAGCGATGCCAAGCTGGGGGCGCGCCATCGATCGATCTGTGCCTCGAAGACGGGTCAAGGCGCCCTGGGCCCCTGCCACGGGGAGGAGCCGCGCTGCCTCCGCCCGAGAGACCCCGCCGCACATCCTCGGCAGAGGGCTTGGGGAACCACACCCTCCATGAGGTGGCTCCCCGCACCTGCGAACCCCCGCGGCAGGCGCACCCACTTCGGCTACTGTCAACCCGCATCATTTGGATGCACAGTGTGGATGCAAGGGACTCTAGAAGGCCATGCCGACACTATGCAAGCGGGGCGCGGCCAGCGAAAGCGGCCAAGGATGGGCCGAAGGGGAAAGATGCAAAAGTACCCTTGGGAACGTTGCCCGTCCTTACTATGCGGGCCGACTGCACACGCAAGACTGAAGCTTGGCAAGAATGACCTCTGGTGCACGGCTTCACGGGGGGCGCGGGGTGGCCCAGTCTGGGCGCGCAGGGCGCTGCTTCCGCTTCGCGCTCGGCGATCGTAGGACCCCCATGGGGCTCGCACCAGAGGTCACTCTGGCGAAGGGTCACTCTCACGTGTAGTCGACCTCTGGAGGAGGCGAGCAAGAGCCAGGGGGGCCGGGGTGGTCTTCGCCCCCTCCCTCGTGCGAGGCGGGGAGTCAATCCATGGCCACCGCCTGGGGGATCCTCCTCTTCCTCCTTCTCTGTCCTGCATGGAAGATTTGTCCAAAAACACACCACCTCAGCCACGCTTGATTCTAAGATCGTCTGGTGTGTTGTCGTTGACACAAAACGAAAGCTGTTAAGACAGGAATGCGTCTGTTCAGCTGGATGCTGGCTGTTAGCCGAGAGGCGGCTCGGAAAATTCAATGTTCACCGTAGTTGTGATGAAAATCGCACGGTACAGTCCTGCATGGAGGAGGAGGAGGAGGAGGAGGAGGAGGAGGAGGAGGAGGAGGAGGAGGCGGAGGGAGGACGGGGATCAGGAAGAGGCGGAGGCAGGAGCGCGGAGGGAGATGTGGAGCACCCCTGGCAGAAAGGATGGGGACTGCGAGGAGAGAGGGGGAGAGGGAAAAGGAAAAAAGGAGGGGGAGAGGAGAAAGAGAGGGTAGGCAGGGAGGGACAGAGGAGCGGCCCTCCGCCTGTTCCTCCCTCCCCCCTCCTCCTCCCTCCTCCGCCCTCCTCGCCGCGCCCCCTCCTCCCCCGAGGCAGCCCCATACCCCCCCTCCCTTCCCCTCCTCTCGCTCCTCCCTACAGGGCAGTTTTTAATACATGGGATGTTCAAACATAGCGGATGTTTACTACATGATTAGTTTATGAAAAAACATGCATGAACTCATCGCTGTTTTTACTACTAGATCCCTGCATCTTAGTACATGATCCGCACCCAGAGCATGTATTAAAAACGGCACTGTGCACTCGGAATGAGGTACATCCTCCCACCCCCAGCGGTGTCCCTGCAGAGCCTCCGCCTGCCTCGCGCAGTGTTTGCTCCCGCTCAAGGCTGCGTGCGCGTCATCAGTGCTGCCTCCATCGGAGTGTGCTCGGTCTTCGGTCTTCGGCCGAGCGTTCCGGCCGCATCGCAGGGACCATTCACGAGCCGATGCACTGCATCCGTTTGTCCAAAGGGGCACCCTCGCCCAAGCGGAATGCACACCTGTGGATCTGATTCCTTCATCGTTTGCCGTCCCCCGCCGTGCCCGCTCGTCCAGCTGACATGGTCACTCCTCCTCCTCATACTTCTCCTCCTCACCCACCTCATGTGTGCAGAGAGCCCCCCTCGCCGATTCTGCAGCACAGGAGGGGTCAAGCCGGGCCCTGCGACTACCACCTGGGGATCACTTCCGACCACTCGGACAAATGCAGGGGGCTCAACGCAGTGAGAAAAAAGGCAGCCCCCCCTCGCCGACTCTGCAGCACAGAAGGGGTCCAGTCAGGCCCTGCGACCACCACCTGGGGATCACTTCCGACCACTCGGGCAAAAGCAGGGGGCTCAACGCAGCGAGAAAAGGGGCGGGACATCAGGTGTGGCGCGAGCGCGCCCTTTCTGCCTCCTCACCACCTCGTGTGTCGTCGTCGTCGCCGTCATATTCCTCCTCCTCCTCGTCCACCTCCTCTTCCTCCACATCTTCCTCCTCCTCTTCCTCCTCCTCTTCCTCTTCCTCCTCCACATCCTCCTCCTCTTCCTCCTTCTTCCTCCTCCTCCTCCTCCTCTTCCTTCCTCCTCCTCTTCCTCCTCCACCCTCCCTGAGGGGCAACGCTCGGGGGGACCAGCTCAGGGCTCAGGACGGGAAACGTCGACCTGGAATCGGCGACATCGCCGATTGATCGGCGGTAGGCCATCGATGGCAAATCTGAACTCTCCTGGGCGGGGTGGGGCTAAGTATCGGGCCCCCATCGGCGACCAATGGGCAATTGGGGGTCGATGAGCAACCCCCTGAGCTTATCTGGGAGAGCCCAAAGGGGAAGGCGAATCCAGCGGTGGCGACCGACGAGGGCCTCCCAGGAGGCCCAAAAAGGGGATAACGTAGTAAGGGTAGCAGCAATCATGCGTACCTGTTCCCCCTCTGACTACTATCTTCCCCAACTGATCCTCGTCGGCTGGTTTCCGGGTCACATCGCATGTCGGGTCGATCCGGACACCTCCGGACGCCGACGCGCAGTCGCTGAAACGCACCCCGAGGCAGGGAGCACCCTGGGAGCTGACGGAAACGTCCGCGCACACACACCACACACACATGGAAGCCTATTTTTGCGCCCCTGGCGAACCCTGTCTCCCCCCTCGCCTCTACACCTCGCCCCCCCACACTTCTTTCCCCACGGTAAGACGAAGGCAGGATCGGGACAACATCGGACCGATGCAGATCGGAAATCTCTAAGACTCGGCGGCGTTGGAGGTGTTGGGCGCCGCAGCCGTTCCAGAGGCGTCGCGGAACGCTCGCCAGTCTTCGGTGGCAACTCATGGAAGCCTCCCATACCATCTTGTCGGCTCTTGCGAATCGACGCTAGTCGACGCTAGTTCGGCGCTCAATCGGCGCTAATCGATGCGAAATCGACGCTAATCGATGCTAAATCGACGCTAATCGGCGCTACCCGACGCTACATCGGCGCTATCTCATCGATCCCAGACGCTAGTCGATGCTAATCGACGCTAAACATGGAATTACGAAGGTACACGAGGTTCCAATGATTTGCTACCGAACAGACGCTCTGAGAGCGTCTTGGAACGCCTGTGGAACGGATGTCTCATCTTGCTGCCCCACTCCGATCGAGGCTCGAGGTTCGAGCTTCGAGGATCAGGGGTCGAAGATTCCACGATCGAGGGATCGCTGGGGGGGCGGGGAGGAGCGTCGAGGCCTGGAGGATCGAGGACCGCACCAACGCGGCAACTTCCCGCCCGCTTCGAGCCGTGAGAGTTTCGACATTGGGCGGAGGTGGGGGGGGGACGGGGAGAGCTCTGGCTCTGGAGGTCTGCTTAGTGCGATTGTTCGAGACAGTGCGTCCCATGGGGGAGGCTCCACCTGCTCGAAACAGGCGCCAACAAAAAGCCAAGATCTGCGAGGGCTTGCGCCGATCGGCAAAAGAATGAGTAAGAAGACGATCATGTGAGGGATCGACTGCAGAATTGCTTCACCCCAATCTTGGGGCTCTGTGGTCGATTCAACAAGAAATACGTCGAATCCTCCGCAGATCTACGGAGCATCCTACGTAATCCCACCAGCCCTCTGGGCGTAGGTGGTCTAGGGCTTTTCCTCTTCCAACCCCCTTCTTCCTCTTCCGGGAGAAGTTTACCCCTCCCCCTACCCCCTCCCCTGGACCTGGACGGGGGGGTTTCGCGAGCGGTCGGGGCGTCCAACATGGCCCAAGACGGCTCCAAGGGGGCCTCAGAGAGCCCAAGATGACCTCCAAGATGGATCAAGATAGCGCAAGATGCCTCAACATGGCTTCCAACATGCTCCAAGATGCCCCAAGAAAGTTCCAAGACGGCCAAAGAGCTCCCCAAGGAAGCCCTGAAGAGGCCCAAATCCTTCCCAAACCTGAGGAAAATCACTATGTTTGTTTGCTTTCCCGCCTTTTCGCATCTGATGGCCATCCGAGGCTTCAAGATGGCTCCAAAATGGACCAACTGGGCCCCAAGAGATGCCCAAGAGAGCCCCAAAACGGCCCCATGAGCTACAAGAGCGCCCCAAGAGCGTCCCAAGAGGCGATGGAGCTCCCGAGGGGGGGCGCTAATGGAAAGTCCCCTCTTGTTTGATCGATGGACTCCAAGATGGCCCGAAGAGCGCCTCTAAAGCTCCCAAGAGCGCCCCAAGAGGGCCCCAAGAGGCGCCCAGACTGCTCCAAGAGGCCTCCAAGAGGCTCCCAAAAGACCCCCAAGAGGCCTCAAGATGATCCCCGAGGTACCCAAGACAATCAAAGGCGGCCCTGGGCCGCAAAGAGCTCCCCCAGACGTTTCAAAAGGCATCCAATAAGCTTCCCAGTGACATCCGAGGAGACTCCGGAGAGGTATTCAAGAGGCTTCTGGCTCTTCTGTTCAACTTTTTCCTCCTCCTCCCCCTCCTTTTCCTCATCCTCCTCCTTTTCCGCCTACCATTCCTCCTCCTCCTCTTCCCTCCCTCGCTAAACTTCCCTCACTTCCACATATTCAACCTCCCCCTCCTCCTCCGACGACGACGACTCCTTCATCCTCCCCCTCATGGGGTATGTGACGGCTTCCCCCGCCCTTTGTTCTTCTGCATGCTCCCCCACTTCCCTGATCACCTCAACTCCCCTGGGCATCGTTTCTAGATGGGGTGGTGAGATGTTTTGTTCGCGAGCGCGCAGGAAAGCCAGGCGCCGTCAAGAAACGCGGCTAACGAGCAGCGGACTAAATTCCGCACTGGAGCGCACAGGAGCGAGCTACGCCGCGGCTCAAGCGGTGGACCTACAACTGGTGGGGATAGGCGACGCGTCGACAATTGGAACAGAATCGACGGACAATCGACTCCGGGGAAAATCGATGCTGTAGTCGATGCCCCTCCCCGCCCGCTGCCCGCCGCGGGCAGACCGAGCCCGCGGCCCACCTCCCCCTCGCTCACGATGACCTGGCCCTCGTTGAAGCTCTGCCGGGATAGGGCGCGGGGCGCGGAGGCGGCCGCGGCGACGCGCCCGCGAGGAGGCCGGGCGCATGCCAGGAGGAAGGGGGGCCCAGGGGCACACAAAAAAAAACAGACCCAGATCCCCTGATTCCCTCATTTTCTGGACGCCCGTCCTCCCCTCCACTTTTCAGGTGTCCACATCCTCTGGGGAATCGACGATGATTCGCCTGTGTGTGTGTTCCTGCCCCTCGCTTCGGCACCGCCTGTATCCGAGGCTATGCCTCCTCTCGGCCTCGCTCTGAGGCTCCGCCACTTCCTCCCTCCTCTTCTCTGCCTAATTCAAGCTTCGCGCGGCCCGCTTAGCTTCGACCGGAAGAGGTGCGCTCTCGACCCGCGGATCAAAAAAGCGTTCCTGCCCCTCCTGACAGGAACCCGTTCTGATACTCTTCGCGATGACGTCCGTGGCCAGCCCCGCGCCCCCGCCCCTGGTCACGATACAGCTCGCGCCGGTGCCGTCTGGGGACTACTGGCCATCGCTCGGACGTCCATTCCCTGTGTTTTTGTTCGGTTTCGTGTGTGGTTTTCGCCAAATGATCAACGATGCTCCTCGATAGTCCTCGTCGAAGTAAAAATGCACACGTCCGAGCGATGCCAAGACTAGCTGCGCCTGAGCGTTCCTAGACGGCGCCGGCGCGCATCGTGACGTGACCGGCGCCCGCTGGGTCACGCCTTGCACTGCCAGGGGACGAGAACAAAAAACAGTCTCCAGGGTAGGGAGCTATGCGGGAGGGAGGAGGCGGGTCATTGGAGGTCTTCGTCAGAACGATGATGGACTAACTATTCAACCCGAGTCAATTTCAGGGGCTACTGAGCCAAGCTAGGCCCAATGAAGTACGGGACTAAGCGGGATTGGGCCAGACTAGAAAAAAATTAGGCTGCGCTGCACAGGATGAACAAAGATTAGGTCTTTTTCTCGATCAGAGACATACCAGCGCCGATTCAGACTATGACCTCCTAGGAGTTGCATCCTAGCGGTTGCAAGCCTTTGTGGAAACTGCAGAGAACCTTCAAGGAACCGCCGTGCGCGGACGGCTCGCTGACGGGGTAGCCAGCCTGGACCGTCGGGACCTCGGCTCAGGCTTGGCTCTCTTCGCCACCATAGCGCGAGCCCCCGGCGGGGATGTCCTACGCGAGGCAAGCCACGTGTGAGCGACGGAACAAATTTTACGCCTCACGGCTCTGCGACCTCACTCCGCGGCTTACGCGGGGCGCCAGTGTGGCACACCGCGTGGAAGAGAGGGCGCTTAGGCGCGGCCTTACGCGGGAAGCTTACGCGCGAATGTCCGCGCAGTCGACCCGGTCTTCTCCATCGCTCATGTGAACCCTGCCCCCGCAGGCCAGGTCTCCGAAAAAGCTGCTTGGGGTCAGAATTTGAATGATGTCAGCAGCCACAGCAGCCCCCGCCGGAGTGCCCGATACCCAAAGCCTCGATGGGACCAAAAAGAATATACGGCCGTAGCACCCCGCAATTGCGGATAAGAGTGAGGGGGCGGGCGCGCGCGACGCGGGCGTCGTCGAGCCGGCAGACCTCGTGGCCCCCACCTTCCCTGTCGATGGCGCTCTCCTCCTCCTCCTCCTCCTCCTCCTCCTCCTCCTCCTCCTCCTCGTCCTCGTCCTCGTCCTCATCGTCATCGTCATCTTCCTCCTCCACCTCGTCCTCCTCCTCTTCTTCCTCGTCCTCCCTCTCCCCCCCTCGTCCTTTCATCATCGTCCTCCCATTGTCGTCCTCCCTCTCATCGGCCTCCATCATCGTCCTCCCATTGTCGTCCATCATCATCATCATCATCATGTTCCCCCTCCTCCCCCTCCTCGTCCTCCTGCTCCTCCTCCTTTTCTTTTTCCACATTATCCTTACATCCTCTCTTTTTCCGCGTCCTCCTCGTCCCCTGTTTACTCCTCCTGCCTCCCCCTCCTTTCCCAAGGTCACTGCAACGCAATCCTTTGTTCCACTTTATGCTCCCCGACTTCTCTGATCAAGGCAACTCGCCAGGGCAAACTTGCTGGACGGGTTGGTGTGGATGCGCGGGGCTTGAAGAGGTCCTTGCAGGCTCAGACGGCATGCAAATATCCGCCACCGCGTTTGTGCGGCATTGGTTTGTTCAATGAACGTGGTTTGGGTCGCGGGTGGGTCGCGGGCTCTCCACCTCCACCTGGAAGGAATGCAAAAGCAGCCCGCCGCAGGCGCCAAAAAAATTGGTTTGTACACTGAACGTGGTTTGGGTCGCGGGTGGGCCGCGGGTTCTCCACCGGGAACGAATGCAAAATATGCCCGCCGCAGGCGCCGAAAAATGTGGTTTGTACCCTGAACGTGGTCGCGGGTGGGCGCGGGCTCTCCCCCTGAAACGAATGCAAAAGATGCCCGCCGCAGGCGCCGCCGAAAAGTGTGGTTTGTACCCTGAACGTGGTTTGGGTCGCGGGTTGGTCGCGAGTTGGTCACGGGGTGGGTCGTGGGCTCTCCACCTGGAAGGAATGCAGAAAAAAGCCTGCCGCAGGCGGCGAAAAGGGTGGTTTGTACCTTGAACGTGGTTTGGGTCGCGGGTGGGTCGCGGGGGGTCGCGGGTGGGTCGCGGGTGGGTCGCGGGTGGGTCGCGGGTGGGTCGCGGGTGGGTCGCGGGTGGGTCGCGGGGTGGGTCGCGGGTTGGGTCGCGGGGTGGGTCGCGGGGTGGGTCGCGGGGTGGGTCGCGGGTGGGTCGCGGGTGGGTCGCGGGGTGGGTCGCGGGTTGGGTCGCGGGTGGGTCGCGGGGTGGGTTGCGGGTGGGACGACGACAACAAACAACAACAAACAACAACGAGAATCCGCACCGCGGAATTCCACTTCAGCCACGCACCCAGGGACAGTGAATGACCGTTCGGCCCCCTCACTGATATGCATATATATATATATATATATATATATATTCCTCAAGCTAGGCGCGGCCACCATTCGCACATACATGAGACGGACGATCCACTTTTTCACGAGGACGCGTCCTTGCTCAGGACGAGGTGCACTTGAGATTATATAATGCTGAGCTTGCTTGGCAGCGATGGGAAAAGGACCCGGGCCCGGATCAAATCACCAGAACAGACTGCGTAGAATTGGCTCCCCAGGGTGGGTAGCGAGGGGAGCCTTGAAACCAGAATGGCCGCGAGAGGGGAGAGCAGCAGCAGGAGAGCAGAGCAGAAGAGAAGACGGAAGGGGAGAAGCCCCTCTCGCTTGGCCGCTCGACGCGGAGGAAAACTGCATCCGAAGATAATCATTCCTCAAGCTAGGCGCGGCCACCATTCGCACATACATGAGACGGACGATCCACTTTTTCACGAGGACGCGTCCTTGCTCAGGACGAGGTGCACTTGAGATTATATAATGCTGAGCTTGCTTGGCAGCGATGGGAAAAGGACCCGGGCCCGGATCAAATCGCCCGAACAGACTGCGTAGCATTGGCTCCCACCCCCAATTCAGTTGTCATTGGGTGGGCGGGTTGGGAAGAAAAGAGAAAGAGAAAATTAGCTCGGCACCCGACTCGAACTGGCAACGCGAGAGACGAGGTGGCGGAGATCCGCCACCGAGAAACGGGCGGCCCGTTGACGGACGGCGGCAGGCACGGCGGCACGCTGACGCAAGAGTGAGCCGTGCTTCTCATAGATGCGCACGGACTCTCGTGCGCGCCATCTCCCCCGCTGTTGGATCTGATCCAGGCTACGCAATTGCTCCAGAGCGTCATGCGAGGGGCCTCCGTGCCGAAGCTGATGAGGCACGGAGAAGACGTGGCACAGACCTAGGTCGGAGGCTACGCTCCGCACGAGCCTCTCGTATGCACTGAGATTCAGAGGAGCAAAAAGCTTGGCCGCGTCTGCTCGGCCTTTGCGGAGGGCGAGCGGCGCAGCCGGTACCTGGCGTCTAAGGGGGACAGGCGTGCCAGCGACGACAGCGCGGTCAAACTCGTTCGTCTTGGACGGCACTCCGCCTGTGAGAGGCGCGATGATGACGGAGACCTGGCCCCCCGCGCTGCCGTGGACGTCGCCTGCGGCGATGGAGAGCACCTCGCTGGGCCGCAGGCACAGGTCAAACTGGACTATCATGGCCGCGGCGGCAAGGGCCCCCAACGTGGAGCGCTCCGAGAGGGCCCCCATGCAGGCAACCACGGCGTCGAAGGGGGCTGGCATCCTGGGATGCCGTGGTAGCTTGGCAGACCAGCCCGCCAGGGCATCTTTGGATCGCACAAAATGAGGCTTGGCCACAGCCCATCCTCGGAGTCGAACAAGACCGTAAAGTGCATTGCGAGCCATGTACTGAGGAGATCCACAAAAGAAAAGGTTCTCGATGTACACGTTCATTGACGTGTCGGCGTTCTTTGGGTTGTCGAAGAGAAGACGCTGGCGACGAGCTCAGGCCTCGAAGTCGGCGACAGCCTGCTGATACTTTGTCAGGGTCGCTGGCCGCAACGAAGCCGTACGCAGGAAATCACCAGGAGGCGCTCGGCGAGCTTGCCGCTGTTGCTCGGCGCGGTCCACCGCCGCTGCCGCCCGCCTTCGGCACTCTGCCGCCAGCGCCCGACGGCCCCGCGCTTGGCCTCCGCCTGGGGGCGGGGCGGCGCTGCGAGGCCCGCCCGCCGCCCGGGGGGCGGGGGCGCGGGTCGAGCGCGGAGGCCCAAGCGGCTCGCCAAGGGGGCCTGAAACTCCGCGGGCAGAGCGGGAGGCCGGGGGCACGGAAGCGGACCTCGCCCGACGCGGCTGCCAGGACGCCATCCCAAATCGCGAGGTCTCTGGGCGCGGCTCGGCCATAGGCGGACCTCGGGGCGGAGAGCGAGGCGATGCGCGCGAGCTCTCGGCACCACTCGGGGAGGTACGCGCCCGCCAAGGTAGTCCGCCAAACCCACCCTCTCGTCGGATGGCGAACTTTGCCCTGAAGAACTTCACGATGCGGCTGGCAGCACTGGCAACGGCGGCCTAGCAGCTCCAGGTTCGGCAACGTGCCGGCGACCGCTCCTGGCTTCTTGAAGGGCGCCCCGAAGCGGCAGGAGTCGCACTCGACCCTGCCGGGCCTGTGGTAGCGGAGCTCCCTCTCCAGGGGCGCCCAGCGCCGAGGAGAACGAGGATGTTGAGCTTCCTGCAGAGCTCGAGCACCCGCACGGCGAAACTGACGAGAGCGAGGTCTGCCGGGCGCGGAGGCCGGTTGCCCCCGGCCGGCACCCAGTGGGCACACGGAAGGCCAATATGTATGCACCAAAAACGGCGCTGAGTAATCCAAGCCAAGACAGCGTTACGGACTCCAGGATGCGCGAGGTCATGATGCTTGCCGTTTGCAATGTCCAGAGGGCAGGCAATACGGAGACCGGCCTCGTGGAAGGCCCGAGATAGGTTTGCACCTCCAGCAAATAGCTCCAGGAAGCTGGTACGGCTAGACTGCTGGCCCCGCGGGGCCGTAGACGAAGACCCCGAGGAGCACCGCATACGAGGCCCGCTGCGCGCCCGAGGAGGAGCCGAAGAGCTTGATGACCCGGCCTGGGGACCTTGACTCGATGATGACGTTGATGGCCTGACCCGTGACGCCCAAGAAGACGAAGAAGCTGGGGGCCCAGCCTGGGGTCGCTGATGAGCCGATGCCGTTGGAGACCCAATATGAGGCCAGTAACCCGACGAAGAGCTCGACGACCCAATCTGCGAAAAATAACCCGCGCGTGGTCTCGACGAAGTGGAGCATGATGGAGGAGGGGAAGGACAGGATGGGAGAACAGACCAAGCTGGGGTGGTAGAGAGGATGATCCCTTGTGCGAGGTCCTCGCTCCACTGTCCCGTGCAACCAATAGGTTTCTCCCCGAGCCCTGGAGGCTCGGAGACGCGGCTCGGGGACGGCCGAGTCGCGAAGGCAACGCTGGCGATGGGGGGCCCGGGCTCCTCAGGCCCGGGACCTGGCGGGCCGCCGCTGGGCCTCGCGACGGGAGCGCACCTGCTGGGCGCCAGCGGGCAGGCCCTGAAGCCGACCCCGCGGATCCAGCCAGGCAGGAGCTCGCGGCGATCTGCGGCCCGGCTCCCCCAGTCAGCAACGTTCACACATCCTGGAACGCGTCGCACCCGCCACGTGATCTCGGCGCCCAGCTGCAAGGCGCCGGCCCGACGACATTGGGCGAGGAGCTCCCGATTACTGGCGCGGCCCTTCTCGAACGACAGCGCGCTGGAGAGGTTGTCCGAGAGGCTCAGCAGCTCGGTCCCGTGGCAGTTGGCCTGGCGCGCGGCCGCGCCCAGCCCGATCACCGAGGTGCGACCCTCCAGGCTGTGGACGCGGCTGGGGTGGCGCCACGCGCCTCGGAAGGCCTCGGTCCACCGCTGCGGGTCGACCAGCTCAGGCGGCAGCGGAGGCGGGGGGCGGCCCACCTCCATCTCCTGGCGACGGCGGCGGGCCCGCGCCTGCCGGCGGGGACGTCCCGCGCTGGCGTCGCCGAGCTCGTCGTAGTACAGGTCGGAGACGTCGGCCAGCCCCGCGGCGCGGCCTAGGTAGGCGCCCCTGTCGGGGTCGCCGGAGACCTCGACCTCGCTGAAGCGCTGCCTCTCGCGCCACCGCGACACGCCGAGGACCTCGTGCCCGAAGTGCTCGGCCTCGCAGACGGCGCACCCCAGCATCGAGCTGTCCGTGGCGAAGGACACCGGCGCTGGAGGTCGGCGCAGGTCCACCTGGCCGAGGAACACGAGTCCAGCAGCACAGCGAAGCTCCGTCAGCACGCTGGACGGCAAGCGGGAGACGCCCTCCATAGGGCCCGACTAGAGGTAGGCGTAGCACTCGCCCAGTACGCTGAGGGCGGGCCGCATGATGCTGAAGTAGTGCGCGATGTGTCCCAGCAAGCAACCTCCTGACCTGCCAGCGGGCAAGCCTTGGCCTGCGTAGAACCTCGTGTAGGCCAAGGTACAGGCGCCAAGCTCGCCGCGATGTGTGGCGAAGGCGCCCGTGTCGGCCATCGAACTCGAGACCGAGGATGCCCTGCGACGAGGTGGCATGCTGCAGCTCGTGCCAGCGGAGCCCCCATCTTGTCCAGCTCGCCCGTCACGGCGCCGAGGCGCTGGTCGAGCTGGCCGGCGTCCAAGGAGATGAGGTTCGCGTTGTCGACGTAGGGCGCATGGGCGACCCCCCCATTCAGTAAGGAGGGCGGCTTGCCCTTGTCCAGGCACCAGGAGTCCTTGTCCCCGAAGACGGTACCCATGGCGTCGATCAGGACCTCCTGGCAGATCCACAAGGCCCATGACCATCCCATGGGAAGGGCCTCGAAACAGGGCCAGACTCGGGAGTCCGGGCTGATGTCGATGTAGCGGCCGAGCTCCTCGTCGTAAAGCTGGGTCACCCCCAGCTCGCCGGCGTCCATCTCGATGTCGAAGCACATCCAGGAGCCCCAGGCCGGGTGGCGGAACTGGTAGAAGCCGTCCTGCAGGTCCACCGAGCCGGCCACCAGGTCGCCCCTGGTCGTCACGATGTCCAGGTCGTCGGGGCCGAGGTCGGTGGCGCCCACGAGGTTGATCGCCGCGAGCGCCTCTCCTGAGGCCAGCACGGTCTTGGGAGGGAGGCGCTGCAACTGGTTGGCCTGCCGGGCATCCAGCACCATCCTCTGATCACCATTCTTCTTTCGCACGAAGAACGCGGAGATGCGCGCCTTCCGACGGGCCCGGGCTCCCACGAGCCCTCGGAGAGCCAGCGCACGAAGAAAGGCCACGAGCGCGGGGCGCCGGCGCGGGTCGAGCTGCAGGTCCCAGCGCGGCTGCACCAGCGGCTCGCCCTCTGGCAGCTCGGAGAGCGGGCGGACGACGGCAATGTCAAAATTGTCCATCACATCCATGACGCTCTGAGGGGCCACGTCGTCGAGTGGCGTTGAAAAATGTTCCTCACGCGGGATGTTGAGGCGGCTCGGATCAAAATCGACCACAGTCGTGGAAGCGTCGAGGCCGCCGTAGACGCCCCTGGTCTTGAGGAGCTCCTGAAGGGCTCTAGGACCATCCAAGTCGGCGGGCCGATCACCAAAGGCCGCGATCCGACGGCGGACGCGCCTGAGCGCCGACTCTTGGGCCACGTCGGCGCCCCCAGTCCTCTGAGGGGGCCGAAGCGCGATTTCCCTCCCAGCGCAGGCGGCGGCCATCCCATTGAGGGTCGTGATCGTCTCGATGGCACGGGCCGAGCGACGATCAGCAGCGGCAGCTCGCTGCGCTTTATACCGAGGCAAAGCGGTACGTTCCCCTCGCGGCGGATGCGAGTAGATGGCGCCCGTGACCGGAAGCGGGAACAAGGGTGGGGGCCCCCGCGAGGAGGAACCCTCGACGGGGAGGCAGCCGCGGTCCAAGGTGGTGGCCATGGCGACGCGGTGTGCCGACGGCCGCGGCAGGTGGCGCCGCGGCCGAGGGGGGCGCGGAGGCCCCCGGCTTGCTATCCAGCTCCGGCCGGCCCAGCCCCGGCCATGCCCTTCGGCTTGGCCTTGGGGCGCGGGGGCCTTGCCTCGTCCCTCTGCTCGTGGCGGTACTTCTTGTCCTCGTGGTCGGCCTCCTCCCTGTACATCCTCTCCTGCTTGAGGACGGTGCTCCTCGCCTTCTGCTGGTCGGCGACCCACGCGTCGAACTTGGTCGCGGCGGCTCCGCCTGAGTCGTCGGGGCGGCTCGACACCATCAACTCCAGCCCCTCGAAGGACGGGTGGCGCGGGCAGCGCTTGACCGCCCTCTGGATCTGGAGGCCCCGGCGACTCAGGAGCTCGAACGAGGCGAGGTTCGAGACGTCCAGCGCGTCGAAGACCAGCGCATGGTGCAAGACCTCCACGATGTTCTTCAGCTCCTGGGCGACGGCGCTGGCGCGCGAGACCCCCGACTGGGCCATACAGAAGCCCCAGTAGGACGAGAGCGAGTGCCCAGACGAGACCACCGCGGCTAAAAATTCGACCAGGGCCTTGGGCCCCTCGAAGGGCCAGTCGCCCACGTCCACGCTCTTCAGAAGAGCCACCAGCTGCGCTAGAGAGACGGTCTGAGCGGAGACGCCCGTCTGCGGCAGCACGCGGCGGTCCCTGCCAGGACCGGCCCTCTTCTCCGCCTTCCAGTCTGGCTCGTCGCTGAGCTGGACGTTCTCGGCGGCGACCCAGCCCTCGGCGTCGGACAGCATCACGAGCGCCACCGCGTCCCGGCTGATGAAGCGCTCGGCCGAGGTGATCAGCTCCAGGCTCACCTCCTCCCCGAAGTGGTCGCTCGCGGGGTCGGAGACGATCCACCTCGGGACGTCGACCCCCGCCTGCACCGCGGGGAAGGGAAAGCCCAGCACCTTCGCGAAGTTGCGCCCGTCGCAGCGGAGGTTGGCCAGGTCGGCGTCCGAGAGGGCCCCGAACGCGTAGACCTGACCTCGGACTCTCTGCGGGAACGCGGCCGCCCGCGGAAGGGCGACCACCAGGTACTCGTCCAGCTTCAAAAGGTAGATCTCGGCGTCGGGCGTCGCGGCCACCCAGTGCCCAGGCGTGGGCGAGGGGACCAGTAGCACTCGGTGGTGCCACCTGAAGTTCGGGTCGTCGTCGAAGGCGATGCTAACCTGGCTCTCGACGATGTCCAGGGTCTCGGGCCCTGCCCGAGCCATCAGCCACGGATGGCCCTAGGCCAGGTTGCGGAGCCGGCTCCGCCGTCGCCTGCTGGGCGCGCCGGCGCCCGCGCGGTGAACCCGTGCAGTAGGGCTGCGACGGGCGCGCAGACCGCCAGCGCCGCCGCAGCGCACAGCACGCCCAGCACCCAACCCAGCCCCAGCCACGAGGCCCAGTCCAGCGCGGCCGGAGCGGGGGCCGGGCAGGACAGCTCGGGGCAGGGCCGAGGGTCGGGCACTGCTGGGCACGCCACCGCAGGCGCCGCCGGGCAGTTGCCGCAGGTGACGTTGACCGACCCACAGGGAGGGCAGGCTGGGCAGGCGGGGCAGCGGCTGGCCCAGACTGAAACCAGCGCCGCGCTCCACTGCCCGAGGGCCGCGAGGGGAAGGGGCATCCGGGGCGGCGCAGGCGCATGCAAGCCTTGAAACCAGAATGGCCGCGAGAGGGGAGAGCAGCAGCAGCAGCAGGAGAGCAGAGCAGAAGAGAAGACGGAAGGGGAGAAGCCCCTCTCGCTTGGCCGCTCGACGCGGAGGAAAACTGCATCCGAAGATAATCATATATGTAATCTCTAGTGGTCGCAGACCTCAGGACCCTTCGTAAGAACTCTTCCAGGGCCTCGGACACCAGATATTCGAGCTGGCCCGGTCGCTCTCGGGGAGGGGAGGTGGGGGCAGGCGTCGCGCGGCATCGCCAGAGGCCTCGGGAGCGTGGCTGGGGCTTCTGCGCTCCTGGAATGTCCTACGTTGGGCTCTTCTTGGGGCCTTTTGGGCCTTATGAGGAAAACCCCGAAGGCCTCGCGCTGAAACTTGAGACCCACTTTACGTCGAATCCCCTTCGGTTCTACATCGGATGCTGTGTCGGACTCACGTCTGACTCACGTCGGAACACCGCCGCGCGAACGTCGACCCATTTCTGACGGAGCGGACTTGTGGATTACATGTGATAACTATTGCTCGCTTTTCCTGGCCGAACCCCCCCAAACCAGCGAAACGTCTCCACAATGCCTCAACGGTATTTTCCGTCTCGCCCTTACTTTCTCGAGAGAACTCACGAAGACTCGAACGGCCCCCAAAACTGAAGAAGGGGTAGCAAATATTGGCGGCGCGCAGAGGAGTGTAGGGGACAGGAGAACGGCTTCTTAGAAGGAGGCTGCTTCTTAGAAGGCACCTGCCCAGTACCAATAGACAAGGCCTGCGCCTTCTGAGTTGCAGGAGTGCTTGGAAAAAGCCGTCCCCCTCCCTGACAACCTATGCGCGTGGCTGCAAAGAGGGGACTGGCGTATCAGCTCACGCAGTCGGTTTTGACAGCGCCTCACGGCGCCGCAGGGTGCCAATGTATCGATGAATGCGCGGCGGGGCCGAAACAGGCGGCGTATTGCACATTTCCTATACACCCCCCCTCCTCCCTATCGTCCGACCTGACATGTCCGCAAGAGTGGCGGGTCCCAAAGCGACGCCGACGGCGACGCAGACGTGGATAAGTGGCGACATCCGAGCCCTACCCCCACCGAACACGCGGGTTCGAACTTCGCCAGGTGCCCGACCTTTCTGGACTCTACCCCCGCCGCCCATCGGAATTGCCCGAATCGTTGAACGGCGAGGGTAGCAGTCGGACTCCGCCGCCGAGTCGAACGACGGACGACCGAGCGAACCATGGACAACCCCCGAACGAGCGACCACTACGGTCCAGGTCGGGCATGTCCCCCTACACTCGGATTTTAGCATAACCAAAACAAGTTCAGTCATTGACACAGGAGCAAGAAACAAATCGTCCCCAGACTATTACCTGACCTTTGTGGGCCCCGGAAACGGCAGGGCCGTTTTTTCACCGTTTCCAAAAAAAAACCCTTGAACATGGAAACGGCAAAAAAAATGGCGACCGGAAACGGCAAAAAAACGGCTCCAGGATTGGAACAGGAGCCGGAACCGGTCAGAAAACGGCGACGGAACCGGTAAAAAAACAACGTCGGAACCGGCAAAAGAACGGCAAAACGGAACTGGTAAAAAAACTGCCCTGTCGTTTCCAGGGCCCACTAAGTACCTGACTATTCCTGAACTCTCCTCCTGTAGACGGACATGACCGACTTAACACCGTAGCGAATCCCCCCTTCCCCCCCGGGGAGGCCAGAGCTCTCATCGCCTGCCCGAGTCACCGCTGCGAGGGAGGTCTGCTCCCGACCACGCCCAAGGGGCTGCGGCCGCGCAGCCAACGCGGCGGCGGCCGCCGCTTGCCGTCGCTCGGACGCCCACTCCCCGTGGCGAAAATGTTCTCAGTCGGCGTTTCGACACTGGGCGGAAGAGCCCCCAGATGGCCCCCAGATGGCCCCGTGGTGACCTCCAGATGGGCCTGAGAGGCTTCAATATAGCTCCGATTTTGCCCAAGAAAGATGACGAAAATACACCCCAGAGGCCCCAAGATGCACCCGACAGTTCTCATGATCCCATGGTGAACGTTTTCTTATTTAGCGTTTCGACGTTGTGCGGAAGAGGAGGGAGGTGGGGTTCTGGATCCGGACCTTTGCTTGGTGCGATTGCTTGCAGCAGTGCGTCCCATGGGGGAGACTCCAACTGCTCGAAACAAGCGCCAACGACAGCCAAGATCTACTCCGGGTGGGGGAGGAGGGGGGGGTGCGAGGGTCCGCGCCGATCGGCTAAACAATGATTGAGAAAATGTTTTTTTCCATTTCGTGCGTGTTTTGTGTTTCGCACGATGATGTGAGGTCCTTCTCGAGGGTCCTTGCCGAGAGATGGAAACGCAAAGGTCCGAGGGATGCCAAGGCCACACACCCGCCCACGATCCTGGGCCACGAGCCGACGGCCACCACGAACGAGCGGCCACGACCGACCACCACGGACACGCCGACGCCCACGCCGACGCCGACGCCGACGCCGACGCCGACGCCGACGCCGACGCCGCCGACGGCGACGGCGGCGACGACGCCGACGCCGCCGACGCCGCCGATGCCGACGACGACGCCGCCGACGACGACGACGACGCCGACGGCAACGACGGCGACGCCGACCGCGGCGCGCAGAGCCGCCCCCGCCGCCCGCGGCGCGCGGGCGCCCGCCTCGCTGCGGAGGGCGTCCGCGAGCTGTGACCGCTCGTACCTGCCGTGCGCGCGCGGCCCTCGACCCGCCCTCCGCCGCCGACCGCCGCAGCTGGTCGGCGCCGTCGCCCGTGCCTCCGGGAGCTCGGAGTGGGCACAGACCGACCACAGCGATGTCTGGACCGAGATGGCATTCGCAGCGGGCACCTCAGCGAGGCCCAAGGTTTCAGATGAAAGCTGCAGAGGAAGCCCGGCCAGCAAGGAAAAGGAACGTCGAGACGGGGCGCTTAAAACAACAACGAACACTAACACCGAAACGAAACAGCAGCGAAACACGAAACGAAAAACAGCACAAGGGCTCAAACCAAGCTGAACAGCGTTGTGGTCGGTCCCTGCCGAAATGGGTACAGGAAAGATGGGCACGATGCCAAACAGCAACCGTTGTCCAAAACTGGCGGCGGCGATTGTTGGGCAGGCGGCTTCTGCCTAAATGGACGCGCCCACGTCGACACCGACAGCAATGCCTGTTGAAATGGACAGGCGCTGCTGTTAGTTGTCAAACCCATTATTTCCATACACCCCGGCCGCGCCTCGCGCGCCAGGGAGGGGGGGTGCAGCGCAGATCCAAGAGATTCGCGCGGACCGTCTCAAATGTATGTCTCTGCCATTTGCTCAGTTCGTCGCTCACGAGCAGCACCCCTTCCGAGGTCGCCCCGCGACCCAACCGCCCCGCGATCCGCCGACGACTTGCCTCGCGATCCATCCACGGCGCTCTCGGCTGGCTTTATGGGCTTGTTTTCCACCACCACCAGAAGTTGGAGGGGGATGGGGTCCTCCTCCTCCTCCTCCTCCTCCTCCTCCTCCTCCTCCTCCTTCCCCCTTCCAACTTATGGTGGTGGTGGTGGAAACATGGCCCATTATGGCTGGTTTCTACAAAAATGGTTCGTCTTCGATGGTCGCCCGTCCGTAGCAGTTCGCCGCCCTCCGCTGCTCACGAGCGATGTCTGGCCGCCGCTCGTCGCTCGCCGCCGCGTGCGTGCCGCCGCAGTGGTGGTCGTCGTCAGGGTTGTCGCCGCCGTCGTCGTCGTGATCGTCGCTCTCGCTCGCCGCCGTCGAAGCGACATCGCCGCAGGTCGGCCCGCCCCGGCCAGGAAGGGGAGCCAGGGTGGGGATAAGAAGGACGAGGAGGGAGGAGGGGGACGAGGGGGAGAGGAGGGGAAGGCGACGAAGAGCAGGGAGGAGGTGAGAAGAGCAGGGAGGGGAGCGAGAGGGTGGAGGGAGAGCGGAGGAGGAGGGAGGAGGGAGAGGGGGGAGGGAGCCCGACTGTCGCGAGGAAGAAGGGAGGAAACTGGTGCAGTATGCATGGATATAGATGGATGGATGGATGGATGGATGGATGGATGGAGGGACGAGGGGGAAGGAAGGAGGCAGGAGGAGGGAGGACGAGGAGAAGGCGGGATGGGAGGGGGGGCCGAAGCCTGGAACCAGCAGCCTGCTGAGCGTGGGCACGGAGGAGGCAGAAGGCTGGAGGAGGGGCGCCCACGGCACAGCGTCCTTCCCCCCCAGGTCCTAGTCCGCCTCTATATTCTGCATCTTCTCCTGACCCTCCTCCTCCTCCTCCTCCTCCTCCTCCTCCTCCTCCTCCTCCTCCTCCTCCCCCTCCTCCTCCTCCTCCTTCTCCTCCTCCTCCTCCTCATGGGGGTGAGAGGTATGCCCTATCCATACCCTCGCAAATCGCTGACTTTTCAGGTCAGGGCCGCCAGCTTGTGGATCCGGGCACTCCGGGGCCCAATGCATCGAAATCGAATCTGTGGGCAGCCGCGCGCCGTGAATTGAAGCAAAGTGGAGGACACTGGCTCCATGTGGAGCCGCCCGCGCGTCAACGAAAACACTCGATCATCTCGAGTTGCCTGAAATGTCGGGGATCGGGTAGCCCCATGGGGACCTAGAAGAAGAGGAACCAGCATAACCATGTGGGGCTCCGTGCGGATTTCTTGAATCTGCGCTGGACCCCGCTGCCTGGCGCGCGGAGCGTGGCAGACGCGGATCCAAGAGATCCGCGCGGAGCGCCAAGAGTTTATGCGAATGCTGTGTCTTCTTCTTCGAGTTTCATGGATATCCTGCGGTCCATGCCCCCCAATCAGGTAGAGAGCCCCCTGCCGCCGAGGCAGTGGCGGGCACCAACCAACAAGGATCTGGCCACCACCGCGCGTGTGGCAGCCGGAGGAGGGTACACGGAGCCCTGCAGCGCCTGCGTCTTGTCGGAGCGTGGGATCGAGCTCTGTCTGTCGTGGTCGAGCTCGTGGGCGAGATGGCGGTGGGTGCTTGTGGGGACGATGCTGCTTGTCTTTATCACCTATGGTTGTGGCTTCGTGCTAGTTAACCAGGACAGCAGAGTGAGCGCGGGATCCGGCACGCGGCACTGCTCTCCGGTTCCGGTTCCGGTTCCGAGCGCCCTTGGCCAGGCAGGGGAGGTCGATCTTCCACCGCCATTGCCTCTGCATGCCCACTGCTGCGGAGGCGTGGTCCAAAGCGTCGGGGAGCGGTAGATGTGGACTTTTCCTTCCTCCAGACGGCTGGACAACATCCATACTGAGGGGCGCCCAGCTGTGGATGTTTCCTGTCGCTGCAAGTCTCGTCTGTCTGACCATGGGCGCCAGGGACTGCTCGTGCAGAATGAGAACGGCTTGCGGATCGGGGATGGACAGACCTCCCTTTTGTACAACGTGGTTTAGTGAAAACGACCTGAGGCCCAAACCTGGCGGGCGCAAGACTGGAAAATAACGGCCGCGGCGCCCTCTCGAGAACCGAAAACGGACAATTCACTAATCGACGTGTCACTCTTGGGGGTTCTGTCCACCCCCGAGCGGATCTGGGGAGGCACCGTGTCCCTCCTCGCTGGAGGTGGCCCGCCGCTCACCCCCCCATACGACCGAGCACTGGCCCGGCGCCAGGGCCACTGGAAGCAGGGGCAAGGCCACGCTCCGACCCTCACGGAACCCTTTCCGCGCTGCGGAAGCACCGCTCCCTCGCCCGCGCTCCTTCTCTCCCCCTCCCCCCCTCCCCTCCTCCCCCGTTTTCATCAACATGTTCCTCCTCCACCTCCTCCTCCTCCCTCGGAGAATCTCCCATCTATCCCCTCCCCCCTTCTCCGCACACCCCGACCTCCAATCCCCCTGCCTCTTCTTCCTGTTCCCCCCCAGTTCTCCCTGGCCGCGTGACGACGACAAGGACGGTGCCAACGACCGACGACGACGACGACGACGACGACGACGACGACGACGACGACGACGACGACGGCGATGCCAATGCCGACGCCGACGTCGACGCCGACGCCGCCGCAGCCGCCCACGACGACCACGACCACGACAGCGACAAGGCCCATGGCCTGCGAGCGACAGCGCTGCCGCCTATCAGAGGGGAGGGGCACGCGTCCATGCTCTGCAACAACGGCACCTGAACGGGTAGAACGCTGCCGCGGCCGCCGCAGCCGCCGCTCGTCGTCGCAATCGACGCCCACTCGCAACCGTCGTCGCCTGTCCCCTTCTGTCGTCCGTCGCCGTCGTCGTCGCCGTCCGACGTCGTCAAACATTCGTCGTCGGCGGCAGCTCCGCCGCCGCCGCCGTCGCAATTGTCAATTGTTCGTCGCCGCCGCTGCCGTGAGACCGCACTGCCAGGCGGCGACTCCTGGGAGACTGTCGTGGCACGACCCAAACCTAGTCAGCGGTACTCAACGGGCCGGCCACAACGCTGGATCAAACCAACATGGGACAGGGACTAACATCAAATTCAGCTTGCCTGGACTGGACAAGCCTGGGCTGGGGCTTGCAAGGAGATCGCACGGGGGCCGGAAACCGGCGCAGCCTCCCAGGAGCTGCCTCCTGACCGAGGGACGAGGAGGGAGGACGGGGGTCGTCCTCGCCGTCGAGCCGTCGCCGGCTCCGCCGTCGCCGCAGTCGTCGTCCACCACCGCGTCGTCGTCGTCGTCGCCGTCGTCGTCGTCGTCGTCGCCGTCGTCGTCGCCGTCGTCGTCGTCGACGCCGTCGTCGTCGCCATCGTCGTCGTCGTCGTCGCCGTCGTCGTCGAGGCTGCCGCCACCGCGGCCGCGCACGTCGGGCACAGCCGCCGAGCCCGCACGGCGCGCCTTGGCGAGGAAGGAGTCGTAGCGCTCCCGCTTCTTCTGCGCCGCCTCCTTCACCTCGGTGTAAAGCGAAGCCCGGACGAGGACAACATTGGACGAGGACAGATCGAGCCCGACGAAGGGGTCACTGATCATGCTGGAGTAGACCAGGGATGCAGCCAGACTTCGATGAGGCGATCAGGTCAGATGAGGCGATCAGGTCAGACTTCGACCAAGAATGCACCAGCCGATTCGGAAGTCAACCGGCCAGGAATTGCATCCTAGCCCACCGTCGCTGCACCCTCACTCGTCGTCGTAGTCCGCCTCCACCTGCTTTTTGAATTGCTCGGGCATTGATCAAGACATCGGTGTCTTGCCACTAAGACGAAACGAAGGAGAGGTGGCGAGAGATGATGTAGTCTGCTAGGGCATTGTCAAACTGTACTCTGGCGTTCTTCCTACCCCTCTTCCTCATCCCTGCGCGTTGCCTTTCTCCCCCTCTTCCTCGCCACAAGTCTACATCGCCGCTCGGCCCGTGCGCCCCGACTGGATCCGACCAGGTGCAGCGGATCATGCCGAGAGCGGAAGAAGACGAGGAAGAGGAACGCTGAGGATAACGACTATGCGATAAAGGCTAATCCAACAGTAGCACACTCAACCAACGGAGCCAGAGAAGGGGGGTGTAAAGGAGAAAGAGGAGGAGGAGGAGGAGGAGGAGGAGGAGGATGAGGGAGGAGGAGAGGAGGAGGGAGGATGAGGAGGAGGACGAGGAGGAGGAGGAGCAGAAGGGGAGGAGGAGGGAAGGAGGAGGGGATAGGAGGAAGAGGAGGAGGGGGGGGGAGGAGAGGGGGAGAGGAGGGGGGAGAGATACGCAGAGTCGGTCGGCCACCTGCGCTTCGTTCGGCGTTGCGCTGCCCATCTTCCGTCTTCTTTCCCTCCCCTTCGTCCCCCCCTCCGCCCCATCTTACTCTTTCTCCGGGTTGTTTCACCACCTCGATCCCCTCCCTCATCCTCAGCCCACCTCCTCCTCCACTCGTCGTCCGCTTTCCTGCCCCCCCCAACCTCCCGCCCCCTTTTCTCGCCTCATCCATCATCTCCGCCCCCCCCCCCCCTCAGACTGTTCTCCTGGGCCTGCTACTGACACACCAGGGTGTGCTACATCGGACTCCAGGACCCCAAACTCTGCAACGCATACAACAACGCCACTGCCACTAATACGTAGCACCCCGCAATTGCGGATAAGAGTGAGGGGGCGGGCGCGCGCGACGCGGGCGTCGTCGAGCCGGCGGACCTCGTGGCCCCCACCTTCCCTGTCGATGGCGCTCTCCTCCTCCTCCTCCTCCTCCTCCTCCTCCTCCTCCTACTCCTCCTCCTCCTCCTCCTCCTCCTCCTCCTCCTCTCCTCCTCTCCTCTTCCTCGTCCTCGTCCTCGTCCTCGTCCTCATCGTCATCGTCATCCTCCTCCTCCTCCTCCTCCTCCCTCGTCCTCCTCCTCTTCTTCCTCGTCCTCCCTCTCCCCCCCTCGTCCTTTCATCATCGTCCTCCCATTGTCGTCCTCCCCCTCATCGGCCTCCATCATCGTCCTCCCATTGTCGTCATCATCATCATCCTCCCCCTCCTCCCCCTCCTCGTCCTCCCTCCTCCTCCCCCTCCTCCCCCTCCTCCCCCTCCTCGTCCTTCTGCTCCTCCTCCTTTTCTTTCTCCACATTCTCCTTACATCCTCTCTTCTTCCGCGTCCTCCTCGTCCCCTGTTTACTCCTCCTGCCTCCCCCCCCTTTCCCAAGATAACTGCAACGCAATCCTTTTTTTCCACTTTATGCTCCCCGACTTCTCTGATCAAGGCAACTCGCCAGGGCAAAGTTGCTGGACGGGCTGGTGTGGATGCGCGGGGCTTGAAGAGGTCCTTGCAGGCTCATACGGCATGCAAATATCCGCCGCCGCGCTTGTGCGGCATTGGTTTGTTCAGTGAACGTGGTTTGGGTCGCGGGCTCTCCACCTCCACCTAGAAGGAATGCAAAAGCAGCCCGCCGCAGGCGCCAAAAAAATTGGTTTGTACACTGAACGTGATTTGGGTCGCGGGTGGGCCGCGGATTCTCCACCGGGAACGAATGCAAAAGATGCCCGCCGCAGGCGCCGAAACATATGGTTTGTACCCTGAACGTGGTCGCGGGTGGGCCGCGGGCTCTCCACCTGAAACGAATGCAAAAGACGCCCACCGCAGGCGCCGAAAAGTGTGGTTTGTACCCTGAACGTGGTCTGGGTCGCGGGTTGGTCGCGAGTTGGTCACGGGGTGGGTCGCGGTCCACCTGGAAGGAATGCACAAAAAACCGGCCGCAGGCGCCGAAAAGGGTGGTTTGTACCTTGAACGTGGTTTGGGTCGACGGTGGGTCGCGGGTGGGTCGCGGGGTGGGTCGCGGGTGGGTCGCGGGTGGGTCGCGGATGGGTCGCGGGTGGAACGCGGGGTGGGTCGCGGGGTGGGTCGCGGGGTGGGTCGCGGGTGGGTCGCGGGTGGGTCGCGGGTGGGTCGCGGGGTGGGTCGCGGGTTGGGTCGCGGGTGGGTCGCGGGGCGGGTTGCGGGTGGGACGACGACAACAAACAACAACAAACAACAACGAGAATCCGCACCGCGGAATTCCACTTCAGCCACGCACCCAGGGACAGTGAATGACCGTTCGGCCCCCTCACTCTGACGTAGACTGTGCACCATAACATTCTTTCTGCGCAACACCGCACAGACACACTCCCAAACCTAGATGCTGTACGCTTGCAAATGTACGACCCCAGACGTTGAGAATATAACCGCCAATCCAACCACCAGCTCACGCCCTGCCTCGCCGCCGCGGGGAAATAATCAGCCACCGTGCCGCGAGACTCGAAGTGGAATTTCTCCAGATCCTCATGTGTCCTCTGCTCTGTATTTCAGCATTCTGGGAGTATGGTATTCAAAAGTTGGGGCCCAAGCATCTCATTTTTCTGAGCGTTCGTTCCTGGGCCGTCCCGCATGACTCTCCCAGAGGCCAGAGGACCCCAAGACGGGCCAAGAGGGCCCCAGAAAACGCCTAAGAATGTCTAAGTGGCATCCAAGACAGCCCAAGAGCGCTCCAAGACGCCCAAGATGGCCCCACGACGGTCCAGGAGGCCCGAAGGACGCTCCAGGAGCGCTCCACAAGGACCCCCAGAAGGGCCAAAAGAGGTAAATATCATTGATTGTCCTTGTGGCTTTCGATGTTGTTCGCGTTCTTGCGTTGTCGAGCCTCTGACGCTCAAAGATGGCCCCAGAGACCACAAAGACCGCCCCAAGACGGCCCACGAGGCCCCCAAGAGGGCCCAAAGACGGTGCAAGAATGCCCCCAAACGGCCGAATAGGCACCCAAGATCGCCCAAGAGGGCCCCAACAGGGCCCCAAAAAGGGCCCAAGAGGGGGAACACGAACCGACAATCCGAGCCTGCTGCCCCAAGAGGCGCCCAGGAGGCCCCCAAATGACCCCAAGAGAGCCAAAAAGGCCCCCCAAAGGCCCCACGAGGCTCCAACAAGCCAAAAAGATGCCCAAAGAGGCCCCCAGACAGCCGCGAAGAGGCCTCGAAACTGCCTCCACGAGGCCCCCAAGAGTCTATCCACGTTATCCAAACGAACATCCAAGAGGCATCTAACCCTCTACACAGGCACGGTGGCGGGATGGACCGAACGCCACTAGATCCGCCGCCCCCTATTGCGGCTTGCCATAAAGGTGCCCAACGTCCTGGGTTCTTTCGGTTTTGCTTCTGGTTCTTCTTTCCAAAATAACTTTCCCCTGGGGGTTCGGCCCGTCCCGCCGGCCACTCGGAAGGGACCACAAACTATCGGAAGGCCTGGTTGCAAAGGTTTTCTTCCTGCTCCAGACGGATCCAAGATGGCCCAAGCTGGCCTCCAAGATGCCTCCAAGATGCCCAAGATGGCCTCCAAGACGGCCCAAGAGGGTCCAAGATACTTTCAAGTCCGTCCAAGAAGCCTCCGAGACGGCCCAAGACTGCCCAAGAGGTGCCCACGAGGTCTCCAAGACGGCCCAAGAGGCCTCCGAGAGGCTCTCCAGGAGGGCCCGAAGACGTTTAAATCATTGATTTCATAAGGTTTCTGAAGGATTTGACGAACTTGGTCTTTTTCGTCCTTCCGACGGCCCAAGAGGCGATCGCCCCCAGAGCGCCAAAGGGGCATCCAAGATGGCCTCAGGAGTGCCCAAGAGGCTCCCAAGACGGCCTCAAGAGGCCCCCAAGACGGCCCCAAGAGGCCTCTAAGACGCCCCAGTAAGCCTCCAAGACGGCCCTGGAGCAACCCAAGAGAGCCACAAGTTGGCCCAGAGAGGCCCCGAAGGCGGCTTCCGAAGGCGTCAGACGGGCCAGGAGTCCACCGAAACGGCCCAAGATGGCTCTAAGATGGCCCAAGATGTCCCCAGAGGCCTCCAAGAGGGCCTCCAGGAAGGCCCGAAGAGACCACAATCATTGATGTCCCTCGGATGTGTAATGGATTTCGGCGTTTTCTTCTTTTCGGCCTTCCGACGGCCCGAGACGGCCCCAAGACGGCCCCCAAGATCGCCCAAAAATCGCCCACGAGGCCTCCAAGATGGCCCCAGAACGGCCCAAGAGGCCCCCAAGACGGCCCCAAGAGGGCCCCAGAACGACCCAACCTAAGACGGCCCCAAGAGGGCCCCAAAACGGCCGGGCCTCCAAAACGGCCCTGGAGCACCCCAAGAGGGCCCCAAGTCGGCCCAAAGAGGCGCCCAAGACGGCTTCCGACGGAACCAGACGGGCCGGGAGCCCACGAAGACTGCGAAAGAGGCCACCGAGAAGACCCCAAAGGTCCCCAAGAGGCCCAAGGAGGCCCCCAAGATGCCTCCAAGAGGCTCCCAGGAAGCTCCCAGGAGGCCCAAAGAGTGTCCCCATAGGCTCCAAAGATGCGTCTTCCTCCTCCTCCTCCTCCTCCTCCTCCACCACCTCCTCCTCCGCCTGCTCCTGATCTTCCTGCCATCCTCCCCCAAGTGTTCCCCGAAGGGTTTCCACAACGGTTGGGGGAACGCATGGTCCGATAGCTCGGCAGAGCTCTTGCCACAACGCTCGGCCAGATGAGCGATACTAGAAGGCGGGGGGCGGCGGTGATTCGCCGTAGGAGTCTTCGATACTTTGGGCGAATTGGCCTTGGTGTGAACGCTGAAATAATGACCAGCGTGAGCAGCCTCTGACCGACGAAAGCTGCTTCCGATGCGAGGTTCGGAACCTCAGGGGGTACCCCTCGACCGCCATAAAGCTGCCCCTTTACCGAAAGACGATGGCGATCAACAAGGCACAAAGACATCCGTTTATGATGCACTCGCACAAGACGATGCGAGGCAACTTGGCTTTCCAGCTTTCACACGGTGACACCACCCGCCATCGGCGTGCAAGCGAGCACAGCGTGCGGTGGTGCAGCCCCAGAGCATGCGCACAGTGAAGCGTGAGGCCCCCCCTTGAAGAAACGGCGCCTGCTGTACGTGAGCATCTGGCGCTTAACCATTTTGGCTGCGTCGGCGTTGCCCCTCTCCCATTCCGCTCTTCATCCACCTCCCCGTCGTTTCTCCCACTCTCGGTCCTCCTCCTCTCGATCCCCCTCCTCCCCCTCGTTCCTTCTCGTGGCACCCGCGATAAGTCGACGGACCAGGGTTGGGGAGATGACCAGCAACAAACTCTTCCCAACTTCAAACTTCAAACCGACAGCGGTAACAGTTGGGCAGCCGACGTCTGTCCCAAATGGACAAACCAACGGCGACTTCGACAAGGAGTCCTGTTCGAAATGCGCAGATACTACTCTCGGTGTTCGTACCCGTCATGTCCGTTGCTTCCGTTCCCGTTTCGATCCTCCCGAAGTCCCCTCCAACTCCTACTCTCCGAGGCCCAGGGGCACCCAGAAGGGTCGAAGAGAACACAGGAGGGATCATGTGGCAACTGCTGGCCCCACAAAAATGTCTCCTGGCTTTCACCGGCCTGCGCCGCGGGTCACTGTCCTACTAGTCGAGGGGAACAAAAAGTGACATGCACATGACAACTCGGAGGTCCGCGCGGATTTCTCGGATCGGCGCTGGGGCCCCCCGGCGGCGCCTCCGACGCCGCCCCTGGCGCGCTCCGCGCGCCGAGAACTCCGCGCGGACCTCGGAGTTGTGATGTTTATGTGACTTCTTGTTCCCCTATATTCCAGCCGCTCCGCCCACTCCCCCCCCCGCCCCCCGAAGCGGCAAAAGTGCTAGGCTCCCCACGATCGCGTTGAAGGTCTCCCGGTCGAGCTTCCAGCACACGCCCTTCTCCTCGGGCGCTGTGTCTCCCCTCCGTGAGACACCTCAGCATACCGTTCGTCCAGCGACAGCCTGCCGGCAGCGAATGCGAGCTGACCTGACAGGGCACAGGCACTCGCGAATCCGCCTGCACGCGAACTGCTCCAACAACCTAAGGGCTCACCACCACTCTGTCTGTGGCGCCTCGAACCAACGCAGGAGCCCCTCGTGCCAGCTGAAAAATCCGTCCAGTGCGAAGCGGAGACTGCCGACGCAAGGCATGTCGGGAATGCGGCCGCCGGCATCTGCCGATGCCTGCACCGCTCGTGATGCGCTTGGAAAGAACACTTGCTTCCGAGGCGGCTGGAACACATGTGCTAACAACCAGGCTGCCCGACGCCCTGCTTCTGCCTGCGAGGAGAGAGAGGCCCCCGCGCGCGCCGTCTGACGACTGCATCGCACGACGGGCAGGGAGAGAGGGGCGAGGACGAGGGCTCCATGCAGGCGAAAGGGCAGGCCGACCTCCCCGATCTCAGGGCTCGCCGGCGCGCGAGTGGCACTCCGGTGGCACCCCCCTCGGCGGGCGCTCCTCGGGAGGCCCCTCACCCCTCGGACGGCCCACGTGCCCAGACTCCCCCCCTGAGGAGGAGGAGGAGGAGGAGGAGGAGGAGGAGGAGGAGGAGGAGGAGGACGAGGTGCACGCCGGCGAGGACGAGGAGGAGGGGCGACGAGCACCCGCTGGCGTCTGGCCCCGGCGCCTGCGCCCACCGACGCGCTCCGTGCGTGCGGGCACGCGCTCTCCACGAGGGCGCCGGTGCCGACGAGGTGGGCGGGCGGTGTGTGCTCGGCGAGGTCGGAAGTCTGCCCACAGACACTGTGTTCCGCGGCATCCTTCCCCAGAAGAAGAAACTGTGGCGTAGACATCATATTTGGCGCTCCGCGCGGGTTCTGGGGATGTGCGCCTGACCCCCCTCTCTGGCGCGCGGAGCGCGCCAGGGGTGGCGCTCGAGGCGCCGCCGGAGGCGCCCCACCGACCAGCAAAGAACTCCGCGCTCAAGGATTCGTTGACAAAGCGCTGTGTGCGACGTTGTGCTGCGGACGCGACTTGGGCCTGAACACGAGAAATCATATACGACAACAACCTCGGAAGGCCACTGGTATTGGCGTCGTGCCGCCTGGAACGACTGCACCCCAGACGGTCGTCGCAAACATCACATGCTGCACGTGCACGAGATATGGGAGACGCCGACAACTTCTTGCATCAGCTGAGCGCCACCTTGCGCCAGACAGGCACCTTGCTAGCAATGATCACGAATTGACCTCCCAAGGCACAGATACCCGCTCTCGCGACTCGGCCATCATACGCTCTACTCCCAAACCTGCAGCGTCAACTCCACTCTGTTATCGGAGCCCAGCGTGCCAGATGGAGGTACTTGCAGTGCGAAAACTGCCCACGCAAGATGGGTGGAAGATGTGGATCAAATAAGATACGCGTCCAGCCACCTCTCTCAGCCGAGTGCCCGACCACGATTTGTGAAAGATGTCGTGCGTCGCAATAGCGCCATCTCTTGCTGGCAATGTTTCCGAGTTGACCTGACAAGGCACATACGTTCGCGATTAGCACACACTCTGCCCCAACAACCTCAAGGTCACCACCAGTCTGTCAGCGGCGCCTTGGACCAGTGCGCGTAGCCCCTCGTGCTAGCTTTGAGCTTCTCTCCCTCGTCCAGCGGAGAACGCATGCGAAGCTGCACCCTCCGCGCGTAAAGCTGTCGAGACATCTCATGGCCGAGTGGCTGTACACTACAGTCAACCCGTGCAATAAGGACGCACGATAAGGATGCAAGGGCCTTGGAAGGCCTTGTCGACACCCTGCGAGCGGAGCGCGGCCAGCGAAAGCTACCAAAGATGGGCCGAACGGGAAGGATGCAAAGGTAACCTTGGAAAATCGCTCATACTTACTATGCGGGTTGACTGTACGCCTCAAAATCGATACGTAACACCAATGCCGCTTCTGTGCAACCGTTCGGCGCCATCCTCGGTCACAGTACAGCATATCTTGCTGACAACGATTACGAGTTGACCTGACCAGGCTCAGGCAATCGCGATTTCGCCAGCACACGCTCTACCCCCACAACCTCAAGGCCGACCGCCACTCCGCTAGCGGCGCCTTGGACCAATGCAGGGAGACCCCTTCGTGCAGGCTAGGATCCTCCCTCGTCCCTACAGTGGAAGCATGCGAGGCTACATCCTCCACATCTCAGGGCCGCGGGGCTGAACCTTACGCCTCAAAGACGAAACGTAGGCACCACCGCCGCTTCCTCGCAAAGTGCGCCAAAGTAGAGCCACGTGGCACCAACGCCGCTTCCTCGCTTCCTTGGCGAACACGTGCGCCGCAGTACAACCATTTCTTTTACCAAGCGCGGTCCACTACTCGCGAAGTCCCTACTTGCAAACGTCAAGAAGCACATGTCTTCCTCTGTGTAATGGCCCGTGCACTCCCGCCGCGGCGGACTCAAGCCATTTGCGAGTAGCTCCTTTGCGGGTGGTGGAACGCGCTTGTCGAATATTGCTGGCAATGATTACGAGTTGACCTGGCAAGGCGCAGGCACTCGCGATTTCGCCAGCACGCGCTCTGCCCCGGCAACCTCAAGGCCGACCACCACTCTGTCAGCGGGGCCTTGGACCAGTGCAAGGAGCCCCTCGTGCCAGCCAGGATGCTCCTTTCTTCGTCCCCGGGAAGGAAGAAGCATGCCAAACTGGCAGCGTCAACACTTCTCGGGGCAGCGAGGCTGAACCTCACGCCTCAGAAAAGATACGTCGACACCAGCGTCGCTTCTGTGCACCCCTCAGGCGCCATCGTGCTTCGCAATAGAGCCATCTCCTGCTGGCAACGGCTACTTATACGAGATGTCCTAACGAAAATGCAGGCACTCGCGATCTCGCTAGCACATGCTCGGCCTAACAACCTCACGGTCAACGACTAGTCTGTTAGGGGCGCCTTGGACAAATGCAGTGGTCCCGACGAGCCACCCAAGATTCTCCCTCGTTCACGCGGATAAGCATACGGAACTGTATCCTCCACACGAACAGCGATCGGAACATCTCAGCTAAACCTCACGCCTCAAAGCGGATGCGGAGACACAAGCGCCGCTTCATCGCAAGCGTTCGGCGAAAACGAGCGTCGCAGAAGAGCCAGATCTTGCTGGCAATGATTACGAGTTGACCTGACAAGGCGCAGGCACTCGCGATTTCGCCAGCACGCGCTCTGCCCCCGCAACCTCAAGGCCGACCACCACTCTGTCAGCGGCGCCTTGGACCAGAGCAGGGAGCCCCTCGTGGCATTCAAGATTCAGCCTCCCTCGTCCCCGCGGAGATGGCATGCGAAACTGCATCCTCCACACGAGCAGCTGTCGAAACAACCCCGTGGATGTGGCTTACATTCACCCCTCAAAGAAGGCACGCGGGCACCAACGTCGCTGCATCGCAAGCGTTCGGCGAAAACGAGCGTCGCAGAAGAGCCAGATCTTGCTGGCAATGATTACGAGTTGACCTGACAAGGCGCAGGCACTCGCGATTTCGCCAGCACGCGCTCTGCCCCCGCAACCTCAAGGCCGACCACCACTCTGTCAGCGGCGCCTTGGACCAGAGCAGGGAGCCCCTCGTGGCAAGTCAAGATTCAGCCTCCCTCGTCCCCGCGGAGATGGCATGCGAAACTGCATCCTCCACACGAGCAGCTGTCGAAACGACAAGGTGGTGGCTTAACCTCACGCCTCGGAGATAATACGTAAGCACCAGCGACGCTTCTGTGCAGACGTTCCGCGCCGCCGTGCGTCGCAGTAGATCCATATCTTGCTGGCAATAATAGCGAATTGACCTGACCAGGCGCAGGCACTCGCGATTTCGCCAGCACACGCTATGCCCCCCCACGCGATATTCCTCCTCCCCCCCTGCCTCCTCCCATCCCACTCCTCCTCTTCCGCCAAGCCATCCTCTCCCTTGCCCTCTACTTCCTCATTCCCCCCTCCCATTCCCCTCCCCCTCCTCCTCTTACTTCTCCTCGCGCTTCTCCTCCTTCTCTTCCATGCTCCTTCTCCTCCTCCAACTCCAACTCCAACTCCAACTCCTCCTCCTCCTCCTCCTCATCCTCCTCCTCCTCCTCCTCCTCCTCCTCCTCCCTCTGCAGAACAAGAAACCGCCAGCGCCCGCTTCCGACGGGCGCGCGCGCGCGATGGAAACCCCTGGGCCCTGAATACGGCAGGTTCGGATTGTGACTTCGGCGTTGATTTCTGACCTTGCGCGATGGCGGCTTCCCAGTGGCGCAAATCGCTTGGTGTTGGCCGATTCTGCACCTTGAGCGCCCACGCCAGGGTCACCGTCCGCGTCGACACGATACACGATACTAATTCACCGCACGGGAACTGTCTTGGCAGTTCAGGTCAACTGAAGGCGCGGGCCGGAACCCACGATGCGCGACTGCGGTCGCGCCCTCGCGCTGCTGATCTTGGGCGTCGTGGGCGGGGATTGGATCAACCAGGACAGCGACGAACCCAAGAGAGCTGCAGCCGCGGGGCGAGGCATGATCCACTCTTCGTCCTCTTCCGCCGGCACCCTGCAGAGCCCCTGCTTCCTCGGAGGGGACCACTTGCGACAACGGCGGCTCTCCCGCCTGGCCCAAATCGGCTCCAAATCGGCCCCGGAACCCCTCCCCAGGTCCATCCTGACGACATTCTTCGGATCGGAACCAGCCGTGGCGACGAGAAGCGCCCAGGAGGCCCCCACAGAGGGAAAGAAAAACGCCAGGGAGGTGCCTTCTGACCAGAAGTCGAGGCGAATCCAGCAGTGGTGACGAGGGCCTCCCAGGAGGCCGAAAAAGTCGGTCGGCGCAGATGAGCGACGGCAGGTCACGGTGACAGAGCCGCCGACACGCCAGAATAGCTACACTATGGCGGCACTCTCAGCCCCCCGCGCGGCGGCCCACTCACCCGCGCCGCGCCTGCCAGTACCATCTTGTCGGCTCGTGCGAATCGACGCTAGTCGACGCGAAATCGACGCTAATCGACGCCAGATTGGCGCCATCTCATCGACTCCCAGACGCGAATCGACGCCAAAGACGGCATTGCGGGGGCCCACAGGGCTCCCATGACCTGCTACCGAAGCAGGCTGGGGCTCGGAAGCGGAAGCCGCCTGCATCCACGCGGAGCCCCCCGCGCCTGACGGGGCGCGCCCGCTCCGGCCTGCTCCTGCGAGAGGGGTATGGCCGGCGGCGAGGCGCCCTGGAGGGAGGGGCCCCTCCGCTCCTCGCCTCTTCCGCCCGAGCCTGAGCCCGAGCCTCTGAGAAATGCAGATTCTCCGATTTGGCGGCGCGCAAAAGGGGGTAGGGTTCTTAGAAGCACCCTGCTTCTTAGGAGGCCTCGGCCTTACGTCTATAGAGAAGGCCCGCGCCTTCTAAGGAGCAGGGGTGCTTCTAAGAAGAAGCCTTCCCCCCTCCCCCTACCCCCCTCTGCGCGTTGCCGACCGATGCCGAAGCGTCAATTGGACCCGCAGGAGTGCAGTCGACCCGTCTCGCAAGGATGCGCGGTAAGGATGCAAGGGCCCTGGGCTGCCGTTTCGAGGCTATGCGAGCGGGGCGCGGCGAACGAACGTGGCCAAGGATGGGCCGAAGGGGCAAGGATGCGATGGTACCCTTGGGGAAGTCACCCATCCTTCCTGTGCGGGCTGACTGTACCGTCCGATACCCAAGCGTCGATCGGATCCGTCGGAGTAACGAGGAGATGGGAGAAACGAAGTTGGAAACTCCGTGAAAGTGAAAACAGGGCCGGTGCTGGAACAAAACTGGCAAGGGCCGAAATGACGAGCCCGAAACGGCCAGAATGGGGTCGCCAGGACAGGACAAGACTGAATGAGGCTGGCGAGGGCTGGAACGAGTGAAGCGCTGGTGCCAGCAACGTGTACCAGCCTCCCTGCAGGATTCGCAGGTGCTTGCCCAGCCCCTCCGAGGCTGTGCTCGAGGGTGAGGGGCAAGGATCTTGCCATCGCTAGGACGTCCATTCCCCGTGCATTATTCGATTTCATGCGTGGTTTCGCAGGACGACCCAGGATGCTCCTCGATGCTCCTCGCCGAAGAAAAGTGCACACATCCGAGCGATGCCAAGGGATAGATGGGGACCGGCTCGCGAGGGGAAAACATCGACCTGGAATCGGCGATACCTTGCCGATAGATTGGCGACAGGCCTCCGGCAACAAATCCGCACCGTCCTTGGGGGGGTGAGGGGCAACGACAGGGTTCAGTCGGACATGTCCCCCTACAGGCGGATCTTTTTCTTGTTGTTTTTTTTGTTCTTCTGCGCGCCGCCGAACAGAGGAGAGCCACGAGGAGGACGCTGACGAATCATGAAATGCAAGGCGGGCATGCGCCGACCGCCAAACGTCCTGGGTGGGATGCCCCAGTCAATTGCAGGGCCCCCGACTCCCCGGGGCATCACGAAGCCAGCGACAGCCAAACAGGGATTACGCTGGTGAAGCAGAGGCAGTAGACATGAGCATGGAGCATGGTTTGGCCTGCCTCCGACGAGGCAGGTTCCAAAAGGAAAGAGGGTAAAACAGCCTATGCCTACGGGGTGGGCCTCACCCCAGGGGGCAACAAGTACCTGGGGATGTGTATGAGGGTAGGGATGGGAGGAGGGAGGAGGGAGGGAGGAGGGAGGAGGGAGGAGGGAGGGGGCAAACAGAGAGGGGTCCAGACCTCCGCGGAGGTCCCGCAACGCCATTCAAACGCGCGAGCTCCCCTGGCCGCGGGCATGATGCGGGCGGCTCGGCGGGGCCAAGGAGCCAAAACTAATCTAAGTCGGTGTCTGCGAGAAGGCCCTGCAGAATCAGTGAGAAAAGGAACGACAAGGAAAATCGCTACAATACGTCACAGGACTCAGCAATACTCAAACTGCGTGACTGCGCATCACACGGAATCAAATAAAGTCGAGCTCCCCCTACAGGCGGATCTTGGACGGAAAAATAAAAATAGTTTAGAAATCGTCCCCAGAGTATCTTTGACCTATTTTTGAATCCTCATGTAGAGGGACAGGCCCGATTTAACGACAGGGGAGGACCGGCTCGCGAAAGGAAAACACCGGCCTGGAATCGGCGATGCACCGCCGATGGACCGGCGAGAGGCCTCCCACAACACATCCGCACGGTCCTTTGGGGCGGGGGCGACCTGCCCACGGGGGGAAACGTCGGCCTGGAATCGGCGATACATCGCCGATAGATCGGCGACAGGCCCCCGATCACGAATCCGCACGGTCCTTGAGGGGGGGACCGCTATCGGGCCCCTATCTGCGGTCAAAGGGCGATCGGGGGTCAATGCCTTAGTGGGCCCTGGAAACTGCAGGGAGGCAAGGCCGTTTTTGTTACCGGTTCCGTGTTGCCGTTTTTGTTGCCGGTTCCGACGCCGTTTTTTTACCGGTTCCGTCGCCGTTCTTTTACGGGTTCCCGCTCCAGTTCCAATCCTGGAGCTGTTTTTGTTGCCGTTTCCGGTCGCCGTTTTTTTTGCCGTTTCCATCTTCAAGGGGCACTTCTTCGGAAGCGGTGAAGATACGGCCCTGCCGTTTCCGGGGCCCACTAAGGCCTGGGGTGCGCCCTGATCAGAATTTTAAAGAGAATCCAGCCGTGGCGACGAGGACGGAAATCGCGCGTCCACCTCACGCGAGCGCACGATCTCTTCTGATTGCACCGAAATTCCAGGAGCACGCTCTGAATGCAGGACGCCTGCCGAACACGCACAGCTTCGAGCGTTGCTGCGGTCTGGACCGAAGGCAAGAGGCGTGCGCACTTTGCGACAGATCGGGGCGACCCGCGAGCGTTCTCCAGGAGATGCCCTTGGACGCCCGCGGCTCAGAGCGTCAGATGGTGGGCGGGAGAGGGAGCGAGTAGGTCGGCTCGCTGGGGTTCCAGGAGAGGTCAGAAGCCAGATGGCCAGCCTCCTCCCCTCGGACGGCCTGGATGACGTGTAGCCACGTCAAGATCCACTCGAGCTGCGTGGCCACCGTCTGGATGAGCTCTTCCACCTTCTCTTTCATGCATGGCAAGAGGTCCTCCTCCGTGAGCTCCAGCAGGTCCGCCAGCTTCTGCTCCTCCGCGGCCTTCCTGGCTTTCTTGTCCCACTCAGGCGAGATCATGCCTTGGCCGAGCTTGGAGCACGTGGGGCACTCGCAATACCTCTCCAAGCCAGGGTGCTTGCACACACGTCCGGCGATCCAGAGCGCCGCGAAGCTGGGAGTTGCTGTTCCGCCGATCTCCGGCTCCAGCATGTTCACCCACTGGTAGTACGTGTCCCTGATGCGCTGGAGAGCGTCGCTCCACATGTCTGCCTTGAAATCCTTCAACTCCTGCCCCTGGATCATGACGCCCTGGCGCCTGACCTGCTGCATTGCCCGCGTGGCCGTGCCTTGCGCGATGCCATCTTCGGGCTTCAGACTGGCAAGTTTGTCGGCGAGGTCACTGGGCAGATCTTCCGGATGGTACTTCAGCAAGTAAGCGTCCGTATGATTGTTCACCCAGACATCTATGAGGATGCCATACAGCAGGGTGGGCATGTAGATCTCGAGTGTGTACTTGGCAAGGTTCGACGGCTGCGCGCGGGCCTTGATCACCTTGGCAGTCCCAACGCCCTCCGGGCGGGGGAACTTCTTGGTGCCCATGATCTCCTGCGTGCTCTTGTCGAGGATGTGATCGTCGATCCACATGATGTTCAGGTCCGCGTGGACCCACGGCGGCACGTCGAGGGTGGTGCCCGGCCCGGTGCTCAGGGCGGCGCCGGAGATGATCGCTGTGGCCGGGTTGGCGCCGATGTACGTGTTGCCCAACTTCAAGATGTCCGCCTCGGGGTCGCTGCTCGGAAGCACCGGCTGCAGAAAGTCCTCGCCGTCCTTCGGCTCCAGGCCGTAGAAGGCGAGCATGACCCGCTCGTCCGTCGCCTCCAGGAGCGCCTCCGGGGAGGGGGTGTAGCTGCCCCAGAAGCACTCGTTGCCGTCGCGCTCGCTCCACTGCGACGCGTTCACAAGCGCCGGCGTGGCGAGGAGAGCCGGGTTGCAACGCGTGGAGTAGGCCTCAAAACATTAAAAATACATCTATATATATAATAAATAAACAAATAAACAAGTAACCAAATATACGTTAACAGTATACATTGTTTTATCATGTTTTTCAATTGTTTTTATTATTGTATTATTATTATTCTTGTTTTTTCATTTTTTTTAATTGTTTTGTTAGGCCTCGTTCCACGCGTTGAAGTCCTTGGTGTTGGCCGACTCCACGCCGTAGTATTGCTGGCTCAGCACGAAGGTTTTCACGCGGATGTCTGCCAGCGCTGCCAGGAAGTCGTCGACCCCCTGGGAGACGGCGTGCTTGATCGACTTCATGTTGTCCTCTTTGGTGACCCTGCTGCAGATGATGTCGATGTCGAAGCGGAAGACAGGAATCGTGTTTCCCAGGGCTCGGATGCGCATGATCGATCCTACAAGCTTGGGCGCATCGTACGTTGTGTGCCCGAACCACTTCTGAAACTTTGTCGTTCCGAGACGATACCGGATGGCCAATAGTGGCTCGATGAAATCCAGCGGGGACAACATGCGGACTCGCTGGAAAGAGCCGTCGGACTTGTGCTTTATCATCTTCTCGTGGCAGGTCTCATTCAGATCAACGAGTTCTGATGGAGCTGTCATGTTCTTCGTGGTCGTGATCTGGTGGACGTACTCCAGCATGATTCCCCACTCCTTTGCTGGCATGACCCACATGACCAAAATGCCCGCTTTTCCTTCAGAGCAAGTCGTCCAGCGGGTACTCATTGAAATCCCACCAGCCCTCTGGGCGTCGGTGGTTTAACGAGTTTCCTCTTCCACCCCTCCCTCTTCCCCTTCGGGGAGGGGTTTACCCCTCCCCCTACCCCCTCCCCACTGACCTGGACAGGAGGGGCGGGGAGCGGTCAGAGCGTCCAAAACGGCCTCGGCGAGGAAGCCAAAAACATTGATTTCACTATGGTTTTGGCCCCATTTTGGCCTTCTCAGGGGGCAACGCTAATTAAGGCTCCCCTCTTCTTTGATCGATTTCCTCCACGATTGCCGCAAGAGGCCCCCAGGATGCCCCAAGAGGCCGCAGGATGGCCCCAAGATGGCCCCAAGAGGCCCCCCAAGAGGCCCCCAGGAGGCCCCCAAGAGACCCCCAAGAGGCCCCAAGATGGCCCCAAGAGGCTCCAAGAGGCCCCCAGGAGGCCCCAAAGAGGATCCCGAACGGCCCACAGAGGCCACCCCGAGGCACCCAAGACGCCGAAAAGCCCCTCAGGACGACCCTCTACTCGCCTGGGCGTTGTTTCTGGACGGGCTGGTGGGGATACGCGAAGCGTCTAGAATTGCCCAAACTATTTGGGTTCGGAACGTGCGTGAAAATGTAGAAATCGCATTTCTCCTCGTCTAGAATGGAGAGGACCTCATCCAAGCGAGACGCGTGCTTCAACAAGGCGTCAGACACTGAAGGGCTGCCGGGCGCGAACTTGGGAATCGCTGCCAAACACACGGCTCCAAGAACAAGAGAACTCACGACCAACGGCGTTCGCCGTGACTTCGGTGTCCGAGGCTCATGCGCGTGCAACGAAGCATGATCGAGCAAGCGCGACTCATCGGCAAGCTCCTCCATGCCAATGCGATCCATTGCCAACCCTGCTCACTGCTCACCGACTCTTCTTCAAGGTATCGGGTTCTGCTCTTGAGCCATCCAGTACAACATATGTATACACAACACCTTTTGCAAACGACATAACAGGAATTCTAAGATCTTTTGCAGAGCTGCGTTTACGTATTCGGTCCGAGTGTTTTTCCAAAAGTGTGTTTGATGGTTTGTACTCTTTGTGCCAGACGAACATGTCTTTTCACCAAGGGCGTCCAGTCGAAGTATGGGCGTGGCTCCTGGGCGTTAAAACAAACAAATGTTTTCGAAATTCAGCTTGAATAATGACATATGACGTCTTTCTGCTGAGTTGATTTCAGAGTCAATTACATGATACATCTGAACTTAATGCAACGCTCAACATGAAGTACGTGCACGTCCCACATGTTTCCTGCAGTTTTGGGGGGTACATCGCAGATAGATCCGAAGAGCTGCGCGGACAACACCAACAACAAAAAAGTCTGCCATGCAACCTCGACAAGTGTCCGATAACTTGCCACCGAAGGGGGGATCTACAAATGGGACCCCCTCTGTTTGAGCCATCGGGCCCAAGCCGCGACGCGTTTAAAGTGACAGACAACGAGTGCCACGTCAAGTGCCGCATGCAACCTGTGAGCGACGAGGGCAACAAGTAACCAGCGAGCAACCAGCGACAAGTCGCGCCGAAGGTCTGGCGATCGTTTCTGGATGGGCTGGCGAGGATACGCCACCCAGGTCGATGTATCCCCCCTGAGCCCTATCCCCTCCGGAAGTTGCCCCGTGGCTTCCAGCTCGGAGCTCGGCTCTCCGGCGGCCGCCCGGGGCGAGATTCGGACACCCCTGGGAAGCTCTGGTGCTCGAGAGCCGCTGGCGCGGACGAAAACTGCCGAAAACCTCGATGCTCGAACCCGAACCGTTTCCCTGACGTCCCCTTTGCCTATTCCGAACCTCGAACCTCGAACCCGAAACGCTTCCCTCGAACCTCGAACCCCTTTGCCTATCCCCCCCTGAGGCGATCGCCCCCTCAAGTCCCCCCTGAGAGAGTCACCGCGCGCGCCATCTTTTTCCGCGCGCACGCGCAGGCCGGGCCGGTCTGGGGAGAGAGAGAGGGCGGTCAGCCGCTGGAAGCGCCACGACGCTCCGGCGCCCTGGCAGAAAGCTCTTGTTTTTTGCTTGGGGGGTTAAGCCCGCCACCTCCACTGTCCATCACTTCCGACCTCCTTCACGGAAAATCTTACGCAATGGGGTTATATAGAAAAAGAAGCGGAAGGTGAGGGCGGAAGGTCGGGAATAATACGAAAGACAGGGGCCAAACACATAAACATATATTGTCGACGGTCCGAGCGGACTTTTCGAATCTAGACTAGCCCCCCTGGCGGCGCCTCTGGCGCCACACCTGGCGCGCGCCAGGAGGGGGCGCATAGCACAGATCCAAGGAATTCCTCCAAAACTCCGCAGCATATTTTGTTTACGCGGATCATTTTCTTCGACGCGTGGCGATTGCGGGCGCGACGACGACATCGCATCGGCTACGAGCAGGAATTCGTTTAGCCTCTCCGCCGTTGTATCTCGAGATAACTAAGGGGGCATGGTGTGACAGAGAAAGCATGCTAGGGTGTGCAGGGCACATGGGTTCTCAGAGCGTCCACCCCAGAATTACGCTGGAGTGAACTGGCCTGGTCAATAGTGGTCACCTGGTCGCTGATGCGTGCACCGCGACCGTGGATCTACGAGTGGAGTGCGGACTGCGCGAAACACGTCTGGAACGCATCAGGGGCGCGAGCGACCGTTGTTGCCTGGTTTCCGGGGATGGCGCCGATGGGGGGGGGGGGGGGCGCGGGCATCTTTTTCGCAACAGCACCGTCCGTCGACGTTCGTCGGAAGGGTGCTGTCCATACGGGGCCAGGGCCAACGGGCAGCAAAGGATGCTCACCGTGCGTCCCGAACCCCCGCCACAGATGCGATACTTTGGCGGCACCGCCCTGCACGGCTTTGTCCCGAACGTGAAGAAGATTCGCGCTGATCCCCTCGCGAAGGAGGAGGAGGAGGAGGAGGAGGAGGAGGAGGAGGAGGAGGAGGAGGAGGAGGAGGGGGGGGAGGAGGAGGAGGAGGGGGAGGGGGAGGGGGGGGAGGAGGAGGGCCGCCGCGCCGCGCCCAGCTGCAGGGGCAACTAGCCGCGCAGGGGCGCCTGCACTTATAGCGCGAGGAGCGCTACGAGGAGGCGGAAGGTGAAGACGTAGGGTTCGACGAAGAAGAAGCCCACGATACCGTCGGAGACGTAGTGCACAATAGTACAACCATCCCAGACTTGCGACAGAGCGCGCCATGGATATCCCAGCATCCTCGGCGGGAGGGCCTGCAGGTAGGGACGGCAGGCTGTCCCTACCTGTACATAGCGCGGTCATCCACCCTCGCGGGTTGCGAAGCTACGAGGGGGCAACGAGCGCGAGGTGCAAGTCCACGTTCGACCCGTTTGACCGCGTCAAGCGGGTTCCTTCGCGTGGACGCATTGCCAGAAAGACCAGCGCAGGAAATGCCCAGCTTGCGCACAGCGCGGACCTCCCCAATAAAGCAGTGCGCGTCACACCTGCGACAGCAGTAAATTTGGTTGTTCAGGAACACGTCGTGACCAAAGTCTGCAAACACCGCTGCCGCGTCATCAGCCATGGGCAGGGCGGGCCAGGAGTCCTGCTGAGAAACTGTTGGCCGCCCTTCGCTCACCACCGAAAGCACTCGGCGTTGAGGGCGCGCGCGCCACACACGACGGCCGACATTCACGATGAGAGCCTGTCAGCAGAGAGTCTAACGAGGCACCCGTAGTGGCCGTGACACCGCAGTGGACGCATCGATACCTGCCGAACGAAACCGAATGCGCAAAGACATGGTCCGTATTACGCGAAATCGTAACGGGCACGGTATGCTCGCCGAGTGGCCGCGGAACCTCCACATCACGTCCCCAGGCCTCACGGACAACAACCTGCAGCGCAGCCCAGGAGACAAACTGTAAAACCTTCCAGTGCTGTCCCAGACCAGCAGTGACGGCTTCCGCCACGGAGCCAGCCATCGCATGGGAGGCGGCTCCACAGCGAGCGAAGTAGTCTGCCCACCCGTTGCCAATCCAGTATCGCAACTCATAGGGGTCGGCACCAATGAGTTCATCGAAAGACCTGTGGGCTGGTGCCCACCTGGACGTCGGAGGGCGGCATAGGGTCCGTCGTCGGCAAGCCCCGAGGATGTCCCGCCAGGCGCGGGCATGCTTAGCCCGTCCTTGCGCGAGCTCAGGACACCAGCGTTCGCCTTCCTGCGCCAGCACCAGCAGGTCCGTCACGAAACACCGGTGATCAGGAAAGGCCTCAAGTCCCTCTCTGATGGCATACCGCTCAGCGCGTCCAACAGTCTGCACCAAATACGGAAGAGGCCCAAATCGCGCAATAACTGGAAGCCACGAGCGAGGATCGAGCTGAACCACGGCCTGCCCACATCTTCGGGCCTCAGGGACGCCCGAATCATACGCCGACCCGTCCGTGTAAGAGGCTTGGCTCCAAACGCCAAGGGCGTTGCCCCAAAGATACACATCCCTGCTCGGTGTACTGCTCCGCGGCACGTACGCAGGCGGCTCAGGAGGAGGAGGAGGAGGAGGAGGAGGAGGAGGAGGAGGAGGAGGAGGAGGAGGAGGAGGAGGAGGGCATGCATCGAGTCCATATTCGACGGGGGCACATCCGAGCGCGCACGCCAATGCTGGACGGGACCCCATGTGGGCCGCCCGCGCCAGAGGTCCTTCCGGCGACGGGCCACTCTTGCGGGTCGCCGACTCTGGACCTCGAGGTCGTCCTTCGGGGGCTGCTTCCGGGACCCCCAAGGAGGAGGAGGAGGAGGAGGAGGAGGAGGAGGAGGAGGAGGAGGAGGAGAAGGAGGAGGAGGAGGACGAGGACGAGGAAGAGAAGAGGAGGAGGAGGAGGAGGAGGAGGAGGAGGAGGAGGAAGAGAGGATGATGATGATGATGAGGAGGAGGAGGTGGATCCGGGAAGTGCGCGGTGCACGCCACACGCAGGCGGGCCGCAATAGCAAGCAGAGGCCCCCCCCGGCCCCCCCTTTTACGGGAGGAAGCGGGCTCGAAAACGCGCGCGCCGACAAAATGGGGATAGGCATGTACCTTGGCGCCCACTTTGTTGGGTGCGGCCTTATAAGTAGTTATAGGTTAGGTAAGTGGTTCTATTTTAGGAGAGGCTTGGATGAGTTAGGATTGGTTAGGAGGCCCCATAGGTTCCATAGGAATGCCCATAGTGATAGTGCCCGATAGCCCCCCCTGTGTTTCACTATAGGATCTATAGGAGCTTACAGTGTCCTATCATCAGCAACACTTGGAATCCCTAAACTTATGTATGTTTCACTACTTTTAATAGTTTTCATTATTTTCATTCTTTTTTGTTATTTTTCACTACTTTCACTAATTATCACTATTTTCCACTATTTTCACTATTTTTCAATATTTTCAGCTATGGTTGACTTTTTCTTTATTTTTCAAAATTCAGACATTGAAACAAGTTTGACCGACGCCAGAACGTTGTGCTCCAAGGGAGAAGAAGGAGAAAGAGGAGGGAGGAGGAGGTGTTCTTCTTGGTCGGCTTCTACTACCTGCAGGTCGACATCCTGATGCATGCCGCGCGAGCCGCCGCGGGGGGGATCCCGCTCTTCATCCGTTCGATACCTCCTCTTCCTCCTCCATGATGTGCCTCGTACCTTTCTACAGCGGCCAGACCGCTTCGCACATTTTCTCGTTCTTCCTCCTTTATTCCTGCATGGTTTCTACAGCGGCCAGACCGCTTTGCATTCCTCCTTTATTTCTCCATGTATTCAACAGCGGCCAGATCTTGCATTCCTCCTCTATTCCTCCATGTATACTACAGCGGCCAGATCGCTTTGCATAGTATAATTTTGTCTCCTTCCCTTCTCCTTCTCCCCTGACTTTCGCAGCGGCCAGGCCGCTTTGCATTTGGTTTCACGTTCCATATCGCGCAATATCGCCCTTGTTCGTTGCAGCGGCTTGGCCGCTTCAGTTGGCGCGGCGGCCTGACCGCTAACGCGCGTAGATGC